TTTAATACGCATCAATGTCTCTTCCACTAAAATGTGAAAGAATGCTCTCTTCCCTGCTGGAGGGAAAGAGTGTGAGGTGTTTCAAGGAAGGCCCAGAATCTCTGTCTGTATGTATACATGGCAGCAGGAGGCAACTGGAAGTCCGTCTGCATGCACGCCAACACTCTCCACATACAATCAAATCTGTTCTTCTTGCCATTTAGAAGTCTCTCGCGCATTTGGAATATTGGTTTCACCACTGTTTCCATTTTCATTTTGGGTTAACAGATCTCTGCTTCGAACAAAACACTGACCCTGACATTTAGCTAAAGATGATTATCCTCTTGTGTTTGCTTTGAAGACAGTGAAACAAAAGCACTCTGTTTGACACACCCAGGAACTCAAAGCTTTTTCCTATTAGCTGGGAAACTAATATATTGTGTGTTGGGGGGAATGAGGGTCTAGATTGAACATCCTAGCTTCCCTCCCCCAGGAGTTAATGAAAAAAAAGTGTTTTGTTTTGTTTTTCTCTATGAAATCTCATGCTGGTTTCTACCATGTGCTTTTCTTAATTAATTTTTAAAAGGATGTTTTTTTTTTCAATGCTGGAAGAATTTCCTACAATGTATTTTTCTATTCTGGCTCTTGAGCTGAGTCCAGTGTTGTAGAATTTGCAAGGGTGTTGCTAAGTAGCTTGCCAGTTTCTTCATTTGTGGATGTGGTATAGTCACACTCACCTTCACAGACCAGTAACTTGTCATTGTAGAAGAATCCCACTGGACACTCACACCTGAAGCTGCCAACCATGTTGATGCACACTCCATTTTCACAGACCCCTGGGATCTCCCGGCACTCATCAATATCTAGAAACAGAAAAGCCCCTTGTGAGCAACAGTGTGGTCCACGGTCCTATGAAAGTGGAAGACAAGATTGGAAAGACAGACACACATGTGTCTATGTGGATTCCATATCCTTTGGGGTAGGTTTTGTTTGAAAACATCCAATTTGTAAGGTAGGGACCACTTTTGGATCTACTGAGTAACACGTATGCCAGATGAGGAGGGGTTGATTGAAGACACGGTCAGCTGTGAGGAAGAACTGTCATGGTAGACTGTTACCTAAGGCCAGAAGTGTGAGCTTGTCTGCATCTTCTCCTGGATGGCCCCTCTATCTGCCTGTCAGAGTTTGACAGACCATCTCAGTTGGGCAGGCATGTAATATGTGGGGCTACACACACCGATCTCTAGTTCCTAGGGGTATCTGTTACTCTATAGGCACTTTGTTTTCTTAATATAATCAGGAGACTCCATAGGATATTTGCTTGCCAGAGTTGCAAGAGGACAGCCATGGGCTAAGGTGGAGGTTGTTCATTTTTATTGGTATTTTGCCTGTATGCATGTCTTTGGGAACATATCAGATATCCTGGAGTAGGGGTTACAGGCAGTAGTGAGCTGACATATGAGTGCTGGGAACTGAACCTTGGTCCTCTGGAAGAGCAGCCAGTGTTCTAAATATTTAGCCATGTCTCCAGCCCTAAGGTGGAATTTGTAAGAACAACAGAAAACTGAAAAGAACACACCCTGAAACCAGCCTATCTAAGACCCTTTCTCAAGAGTTTGACTTTGTCTGAAAACAAATTGACCTCCTTAATGGAAAACACAGTTTAGCATCTATCTCCAAGGGAGATACAGACTGAGACTAGAAAGGGGACTATGAGAGAGGAGGAAAGGTCCTCAGGGAGGTGAAATAGGGTGATGGGATGCATGCAGAATGGGAGCAGAAGTGGGGCAAAGGGGACCAGCCAAAGGCACAGAGGGAGTGGAAACGGGAAAGAAATGGCTGAGAAATATAACCACACAAGGGCATGGAAAATACCATGGTTGCCATGACCATTGTTTTACTAATCTAAACAACTAATTCAAAAAAACCCTTCAAGGATACCATTTCAAAACACCACTATTTTGAATACAGGCAATTTTGTTTTTAGATTCTTACAACAATGTTAAATATCCATGTGAGGTAACATCACACTTATGTTTTATCTGCAAACAAAAACTAATTTAGAACCAATTCTTTTGGTATAGGTTAAAACATGAAACAGGGTCAACCACACCTGTTAGTTCTGAATAGGAATAATGTGTTATTATCCAGCTTAGCAAAAACAGACTGAATCAAATCTCTAGTCATTGTTAGGTACAAAATAGCAAAAGGATATTATTAAATTTTTTTTCTCTTTCCTTGTCTGGATTTTATTTCTGCTTGGAGAAGTTTATATTTTAAGACAAGATTCATAAACATGCCATATAGTTTTAGCCACCCAGAAATGGACTCTATATGCCAACACTTCTAAAACCTTTCAAAGGGAGGGCTACACACTCAAACAAGACTTTACAATCATTTAAGTATTTTGTCATGGTGGAATTTGGTAACACCAAGTACATTGCTAAATACCATGTTCCTAGCTGCCCAGAGCTAGAAGCCAAGCAAATTGTGAGTCAGGACTGGGTTCCCTTTCCAGCTCTGTTACTAATTATCTAGGTGGCCTTGGGTGAGTCCCTTCCCTTTTCTGGGCCTCTGTCTCTTCCACTGGAAAACAAGGAATTTGGACACGATGCTGGGAGGTCTTCCCAGGTCTCCTAGTGGATGGTGCTAATGCCATTTCAAGTCTTTGCTCACTGCCAACTGTGGAGGCCAGCCTTGCTGGGTTACATGCCTGCAACTGCCCATGGAGACCCATTAGCATTAGAGGCCACTTACCTCCCAATCACAGATTCTAGACAGATGAAAAGATGTTTTGGGAAAGAGAAAAACAGAGTAGCTAAGGCCAGGTGTTCCATGCCAATGTCATTTAGCAGTTTTTCTTTCCAAACCATGAAGTTTCTTTGGATGTTGACTGGCCTGCAGAGCCATATGGATTTGGCGCTGAGAAAGCCTGCTGATTGCTGGACCAGGCCCTTGTTTTCTTAAACAAGGTCACTGAAAGGGTGATGTGGATTTGGGTTTTACTTACTAGGAATAAGGCAAGACAAAGCAAGTGGCGGCGTCTGCTACCAGACGTGGTTGCAGAGGCTTAGGGGGCATCTAAGGATGGACATAAATCACACGAGGGAGACAATAAGAATGCAGCAGCTTCCATGAACTTTGGTGGTATTTGCTTCTAAACTGCAAGGACACTGCCTGTGCTGGCTAACCTCTGCACAACACTTCTCAATCCACGGTACTTCTAAATCTAGTACAAGCTACTATTCCATGGCAGGGTCTGCTTCAGCTCCCACATGAGACCTCATACTGAAAAGACGTTTTTTTCCTGAGACAGGGTTTCTCTGGGTAGCCCTGGTTGTGCTGGAACACACTCTGTAGACCAGGCTGGCCTTGAACTCATAGAGATCTGCCTCCCCTGCCTCCCTCTGAGTGCTGGGATTGAAGATAGGAGGCACTACTGCCTGGCTCTGAAAAGATTTTTTTATACTCATGAAATTCTCCAAGCAAGGGACTCAAATGGAGGCCAGAGGAGGCATACAAATGGACTTTGGGTGCCCATCACACAAGGAGAGATGCTCTCTCAGCCTGGACTCTTGGGGGAGGGCCTAGCCTCTGCCCTGGATGAAATGATAGACTATGGGTACCCCCCATGGAGGGCCTCACCCTCCCTGGGGAAAGGAGTGGGGATTGGGAGAGGGGGAGATGGGGGGTTGGTGGAAGGGCATGGGAGGAGGGGAGGGAGAGGGAGAGGGACCTGGGATTGACATGTAAGGCAATCTTGTTTCTAATTTAAATTTAAAAATAATAAAAAAAGACATTAAAAAAAGACTTCCTGGGCCCTTTAATTATGAGCAGTAAAGGTTTTTGACCATTAGGTGGCACTGCAAAGGGCTTCACATCATGGCACTTCAAAACCACTTGAGACATCCTTTAATACTTTTCCCTTCTTAGAAAAGGAAAGGCGAACATAGGAAAATGATGGTGTGCATACGGCCCCGCCCCCGCTTTTAACACAGTGACTGAAGCAGAGCACCCCCACCATGCTCACAAGCACACAGACTCACAGACTCAAACTCACCCACGGGTAAGCCAGTGTAAATGTCAATGACAAAGCCTGGCCTTTGGCTTCCACAGAGGGTAGCAAATTCATCTGCAAGAGTTAAACAAAGAAGGGGAAGAGGTCAGGGATGAGCAAGAATTCAGGCAGAGAAATAACTATGCAAATATTTATAGAAATACTTCCATCTGAAAATACTACAGATGTAACCTTGCCTGTAACACAGACACGGAAGGAAAAAATGACCTTCCATGAGAGTATGGGAGAAAGGGTTTCCTCACCCTCCACCCTGGTTGCTGTGTTTGGTTTTCATGTGGGTTCTCAACATTCCTACTAGGGTCCTTGCATTTGTGTGGCAAGTGATTTTATACACAGAGCTTTCCCACAGCCCAAGGCTAGTTTTAAATCCATTCCTTTAGTCATCATTGGTTTCCCTGATGTTTCCAGTGCTTTAATATTAGCAATGCTAGCAATGTTTATATTTTTGCGATATGTTGAATTTACAGGACTGGTTATGAATTTGGATATAAGTTAGAAAATATATTCTGCCACTTGGTTTTCAGCAGAAAGGACCACAGCAAATGAAAAAGAGGTCAAGTCTTCCCTCTGGAAATAAAGAATACACTCTTTTCTCTTTTTACTCAGATTGACATGCTCTAGCAATTCCTAGTCAATTTATTAATGATGGTAGCCATGAAACCAAATGTCACCTGTGCTCGGGATGGGACACTGTTCACAGGGCTTATTCCAGGCTCTGCCAATGTTGTAGGAGCAGCAGCACATCTTCTTGGTCATGTTGAACAGGAGTTCTCCATCGCAGGTCTGGTTGTCAGCATAATAGTTTCTGTAGCATAGACTTCTTCTCATGTCTAGAAGAAAGGAGAACAGAAGGGCTGGTGATCCCGTGGGCTCTCCACAACACAGCAGAGCTCAACGGGAGTCTCCAAAAGCAAGCGTATGTGGTAATCCAGCTGTGGTAAGAGCGGAAAACCATCATACACACAGCTTCTCGGCTAGCTACGCCGCTGCAAGCAAGGCACTCTCTGGAGTTCTGTGCCACAGAATGAGGCCATTACGTAGTGCAGCATTAGCAAACTTTACACGGCCCTCCACCCATGCTCCTTGTAACAATTCTCCACTGCTATTTGGCAGTGGGCCTCTTATTTCCTCTCATGATGTTTTAATGCTGTGGGTCAGTGCCGTAATATAATTGTATAAAGACACACCTATAAGTCAAACAAAAGCAGTACTATTAAACTGTTTGGCATCTTCCAACATGGCATTTTACAGAGAAACCCTCAACCACCCACACACAGTGGTGAAAATGCCAAACTTATGGTCTACAAGGGGCACGCTGGGGGTGGGGTGAACTGAACTACAACAGCTCAAAGGAGAGAAGCAACGCCAAACCCCAGGAGCTTGACTGGCCTTTGCAGACGAGAGCCCACTCACACTCACCCATGCAATTGTTTCCCCCGTTCACTTGCATGTAGTCTGGAGGACAGATGCAGGTGTAGTTGCCAACGGTGTTGTAACATGTCCCTGGGCCGCAGATTCCAGGAGTCTCACACTCATTCACGTCTGTAACCCAAAAGAGGAGGTGTTATGTGGCTATGAGAGGTTCGCCTGGAACGGGCGGGTGTCGAGTGTCAGTGGGAATGCTGAGAGCAGAGCAAAGCCTCCATGCGGAGGACTTGAAACCCAGATGTGAGCAGCAGGTACTCAGCCCGTGGGTGTCCCTTCTCTATGTCAGGTTTTCAACAAAGAAGGCTTACAAAGGAACTCATCACGCCTTCTGATGTGAGCCCTTAATAAATCAGTCCTTAATGTTCCCCCAAAGCACTGAGAGATGGAAATGGCGCAAAATCATAGCTGTCAAATATACTTCAGAAAGATGATGACATACTTCATATGTCCATAGATATAATCTAGATGGAAGCCATCAGCATCCTAAATCTTCACTGTAAAGAAATGTAGGAGGGACCCTTAGTGCCTCTCCATTTCAAACATGGCAGTTCATGGGAGTATTTGTTAGCTGAGAGTCTGAGCGTTAATGCTAATGCACTGTGATGCTCAAATAATTCGGTTTTTTTTTTTTCGAGACAGGGTTTCTCTGTGGCTTTGGAGCCTGTCCTGGAACTAGCTCTGTAGACCAGGCTGGTCTCGAACTCACGGAGATCCACCTGCCTCTGCCTCCCGAGTGCTGGGATTAAAGGCGTGCACCACCAACGCCCGGCGATGCTCAAATAATTCTTATTGAGAAGGAGTCTCCCCTAACTGGTCCTGTGAATCCTGAAAGTAGATGGATTCCCCCTCACCTGCTGCTACTCAGTCCTTGGGCTAATTGTTTCCAAATCAAAAAATGATCAAAATTCTTCATTTTTAAATAAGTGAATAAGGTCATTGGTTTTATCTTAAAGACACCCCCCCCCCCAAGGAGAGGCTCATCTGAACACACTTGTACAGGAAACACTGGTTAAGGACAAGAAGAAGAACCTATAACTGCCCTGTACACAGAGATAAGAGGCTTGCTAGTCTAGGGAAAATGGATTGTCTAAAGATCATTGTTTAGGCTGGGCGGTGGTGGCGCTCGCCTTTAATCCCAGCACTCGGGAGGCAGAGGCAGGTGGATCTCTGTGAGTTCGAGGCTGGGCTGGACCAATAGCCTCCAAAACAATACAGAGAAACCCTGTCTTGTAAAGACCAAAAAAAAAAAAAAAAGATCATTGTTTAGCCCAAGTTTGGCCTATGAAGCTAGACTGTTAACCCCTCAATTTCTGGGTAACTATACCCTGGTTTGGGGGTGTAAGTAGGTACTCAGTGTGAAAGAACATAGCATACAAGGGATCACTTACCATCACATACTCGAGTATCTTCGTTCAGGTAGTAACCAGTTGGACAGCGGCACTGGAAGCTGCCGAAGGTGTTGATACATTTCCCCCCTTGACACAGCCCTGGAAGCTCCTGGCATTCATCGATGTCTATCAGAAGGAAAACAAAGCATGTCTTCAGGATGACAATCAACCCAGGTCATCCAAACGGTAAGACAAAGGAGAAATACTTGCCTTCCAATATAACGGTGATGGGGTTCGGACGAAAACCTTCTCCTCCAGGGCAAAGAATTTTGTACTCAGCTATGGAAACAAAAAGTTCCACCTGAGTTCCTAATATCTTCAGGAGAAATGCTGACACATCTGACAGAAAATTCTAGCTTTCCAGAACCTTTGGCTCTTATTTAGCTATTTAAAGCAAGTGAGCATCCTAGCAGACATGGATCACTTCCCAAACATAAGTGTGCTGCGCCGACCTTGGAAACCATCAGTGACTCTGGTCATACACTCTTGTGAGACATTTCTTTCTCTATACTATCGCTGCTTTAAAGAGAACTCCTCTCCATTTCTGTTTCCTGCCAACTTCACTTGTTCTGATTGCATTTGGCATTCATTCCTGGGTGCCCCCATCTCCTCTAATAATGGTCATTAGCCTGTCTCTAAAACCCTACCCAAACAGAGCTTAGGGGATTCTTCATTCATCCCACGGCCCTCCATGATGTCTAGATATCTTCCTCACTCCTCTGGGCCACACATGTGATGCCAAAACCCTGATTAAAAAAAATCCATTTCCCCCAGCATCTGTCAAGCTCTGAGGATCCTCATAGAGCATTCTTTCAGTGTTATGCATGTGAATGACGGGGGCCCAGCCTGTAACATCGTCCTAAAGAACCCGAAACTCATTCGTTCATAATGATCAAAGTCTTCCTGAGCTAGGCCCTTGCTTTTATAAAACCCTTGCTTTTATAAAACCCCATGGATTCATATATGTTTAAATTTCCATTCTAATTTGAGCTAGTGACCTTTTGGTAATCACTATTCATTTATATAGCTGACTTCCATATTCCCAAATCCAAATCTGGGGTCTCTCCTCTTAATGTCAGTGACATTGGGTCTCGTCCCCCTTTAGTTTCCTTCTTCCCCTCTTTTGGGTGTCTCCTCACTTATGTCATGTCCTTTTTTCAAAGTATAGATCAAAAGTTCACAAAGTGGTCAGCACCCACTTCCAACGTGAACGAAGTCCTCCCTCTCTGAAGAGGAAAATAGGTGTGGCACCTGCTAGACTCTGTCTCTGTTCTGCCTTAGTGATTGCATTCATGCCTAAGATGCTAATCTGGCAAAGGTCACACAGCCACCACTCAGAGACTCCTAACGTGAACCTAGTGCGTGTAGTCTATCAAATGTGACTCTGTGCCTATTCTTCTCTCTTCTTGGTCGAGTCCTATGCTGAATCAGTGCTCTTACATTTGGGTCCTATTCTGCCTAACAGGTGGAACATTCTGAGAGGACAGATCTCTGACTACTTCATCTTTCTCAACATAATTGGTGAATATTTTGAGGGGTAAATAAATGACCTCCATCAAGACATGAATCGTTTATTCCATGCACCATTGAAGCAGCAGGCACTGACTTTGGCCAGACTGGCTACTCCTGATTGTAAATTCAGGTACAAGACAGAAGCTCCCTTCAAATCGAATTATGAAGCTTCCATTCAAATATACTTGAAAACCTAGTCCTGGAAACATTATGGCAATCTCATCTTCTTACCAGAACAGGAGACACTCGCTACCCTACACAAACTTTGAGGGCAAACCAAAGAGGGAGTCTTTGTACTGTTATGTACTGAGAGTAGCCTGATGAGAACAACCTGCCTTTCCTGTCATAAACAGAGATACTAATAGCTCCTCCTTCAGTCGTGTCTCCTTTATGCAACTAGAGAGGATTGGTCTGAGACAGTAACAACAGACAGCAGGCTGTTCACTTACACGTGTTCACAGCTGGACACAGCTCACACGGGGTTCCCCAGGCTTTACCCAGGGAGCAACAGCAGGAGGCCTTGGAAACACCAACTCCAATTTCATTGCTACAGGCTGTATCTCCATTGTCTCCTCGGGGCCGGATATCCAGATAGCAGTTTCCAGAACGAGTATCTATCATACACAAACAAACAAACAAACAAACAAAAAAGTCAGGCAAATCCTTCCTACTGGAGGAGAAGGAGGGATAGAGTCAAACTCATGTCTGAAAGTGTTTAAAAATCATAATTACTTTTATTGAGAAGCTGAAAAATGCCCAAGAATATATATTGGCCATTTTCCTTCAGAAAAGAAAGCTCAGAGCACACAATATGCTTGAGAAATATTTAAATTATACTATTACTTTTGATGAACCACTGAGTTACTATTTTAAAATAATAACCAGTACCTGTCTCAGGGAAGCTTTAAGGATCTTACCGACACAGCCAACTCGAGTTGGATTCAGCTCAAAGTCAGGCGGACAGTCACATGTGTAACTGCCTGGAGTGTTGACACAGTTCCCACTAATACAGGTGGTTGGATCCAGACACTCATTAACATCTACAGTCAAACAAATGGGCAGAGTTAACCAGTGTCCAGTGAGGACCGACACCCCCAAAGGCGGTCGCACCTAGCCAATGGCTCCTGACAAGAACCCATCAGTTCTTAGATGCAGTTATGCCTAGTGACGCAATGTCCCACCTCCAAAAGGCACCTCCCCAGGAAGGAACTGTGTCACAAGCCTTGATCCAGACCCCACCCCCTGAATGTGTTTACCCTTCAAATTTGTCACCAGAACAAAATGTAACTTTGGAGCTAAGAAAAATATTCCAGTTAAGGTAACTAACAGCAAAACATTGTTTTGACCTCAGTCAACGAAAATTTCAGACATAGGCTTATAAAAACAATACATTTAATATGTGTGGCATGTTATTTTGTCAAAGTAGAGCAAGATGTTCCAGGGTGCACTTGGGAGCAGGCTGTGTGCACCGTCTTCTGTGCACACACATGCAGGAGACCTGGAGTGTTTCTTCAAGCTCATAGAGTCTCTCCCTGCACAGATGCTGTCCCGGACATTTCCCTTTTGGTTTCTACTCCAAAAATATATACAACATTCCAGATATTGAGGACATGGGTTTTTTCTTTTGATAGATTCTAACTCTGTACAGTCCTTGTCTCTATGTTCAATGCTTAAGAAATCCCCTAAGCTAGACAAATGGCTTTGGATAGGACAGCTTGGGGAATCGGGACACTTGTCTGCTGGTGTTCCTGAGGTCTGGAAACCCTAATGTCCTCTAGGATGGGGCTTGCTTCCTCTGTACCTTGATTAGGGGGCAGGCTAAGAAAGAAACTGTTGTGTCCATGACTGTCAGCCTTTTCTTGGTACCAAAGAGAGATATGTGGCTGTAATTGTTCTAATGTTTTTTCTTGTGTTCCCTGGGAGTCCTTGGTTCTACAAAAATGATTTATGTATTACGTTGAGCTAAGGAGATGGTTCAGTGGGTACAGTGTTTGCTATGCAAGGATGAGGACCTGAGTTGAGATATCCTGTACACACATAACCCTAGGACTCAGAGGAAGAAGGCCCCAGGAACTCATGCCAGCCTGTAATTTAGGTTCAATGAGAGAACAATGAAGCAGAAAGCAATAGAGGAAGACACTAGATGGTGACCCTGGGCTCTACATATACACACACAGACTCTTAACCACCTCCTTGTACTCCCAACCACCACCACACATAGATCAAATGCATGGGCAGCCATAGTTATCAGGTATTCTGGAGGTCAGTACTTGGAGCATGGATGGAAAGCTATGGGTATTGTATTGGAAATGTACAAGGAGCAAACCAGAAACCCAGGGCAGGGCCTTTGAAAGGAAGTTCTGAAGATGTATTCAGGGAGGGAAGAAAATGGCACATAGCAAGAGCGCCCCAGAAACATCCCTCTGGGGCCACAAGCTCAGGTCCAAGCCTGCAGACCTGCCTCTTTCCTGTGCATCCTCACACCTCATCAGGTCGAGAAAATGCTTGACTCTGCATGCCTTCCTCTCCCTTTGTTTTCCTCAGAAGCTTGTGTGGTCCTGGTAACGCCCCCACGCCCACCCCAGGATCCCCGGGAGCCCACCTTTAACATGACAGATTCCGTACCTGTGCAGTTCCCACCACTTCGGTCCAGCTCGTAGCCAATCTCACACTCACAGCGAAAGAGGCCTGGGAGGTTGTGACAAGTTCCAAAGACACAGATATTTGGAAGGGAGCACTCATCGATGTCTTGTGGGAGGAATTACAAAAAGAAGGAGATTTTTAAAAAATTTCCATTTTAAAAGCCACCCAGTAAAATCAGGCAACGGATATTAGCATAAAGCAAAAACAGTCTACCTGATATCAATCAAAGCAGTTCCCTAGATGTGTGGGGGATTTGTGGGCACACAGAAGCCTTGCTAGTGACAGGCTCCTCAGACCCCATCAAATGCCAAGCTATAGGCTGAATATCTCCTTTGTGGTATTTGATATGGGCCTACATTACTTTTGTAAAGCAAGAGCCAAACAGAACAAGGTAGATTAAATTCTTGAGTTATTGTTAAGTTGTTCTTATCTATATATTCTCTAATTTTGGTGAACTAAAATTTTAAGATCTTTTTGGGGCAGCTTTAAAATTCAGTTTTACCCTCCATCCCTAGTTCTCTGTTGTGTGCCTGCTGAGGCCTCTTCCAGGCCTCCACCACTACTTCACTGGGGTGCTCTGTGATGAATACCCCCATTTTCAGGCCGGAGACTGTTTTAACTAGGCGTGACCACTTTGCCGGTGATGATTTATATTAGGAACAAACAAGCAAACAAAAGCTTCCTGTAAGTTTTAAGAGAAGCAACACTTGCCCCGTGCCTGTTTGTTTCAGGAAAGGTGGTACGGTACCTGTTTCTCCTGGGTTTGGGAGTGCAGAAGTAAACAAGGCATTAGACTCACCAGCAAAGCCATGATCTAGTTTCTTGTCTTAGAAGTTTTGTATTAGTGCAGCATTTTTAACATGAACATGATAAAGAACGCCCAAGCGTTTTGTAACTAGGGGTAGTACAGAAATCAGTGTGTATGACACAGCTGAAGAGTGATTCTGAATTCATATCTGTTTAACAAGGAACAACTATCAGCTAACTCACTAATGGGGACTTGCCTAAACTTCTGTCAGTCCTTATCATCTATTTACTTCTCCTGAAATCATTTGAGCCCACTGTAGGCCCTAATTACTTTGAATGAAGACAGTGTGCTTATATTTGACAAGTGTGAGTAAGGAGAAGAATCTGTTGTTTCCTAATTGAAACCTTCTTGAGTTAACAGGTTCCCAGGACTCTTGCTGTCTGAACAACACTCCCCAGAAAGACAGAACTTGAGGCCGAGAGACCAAAGCAAGCGGTGCTCTTCCAGGGAATTTTCCTCCAGGGACATGTCAAATCCTGTACTAAGTCTTCATGTGTGGATATCTGGAGAACGTTCTAAGATATATTTGGGACATTACTCCACACAAGGAGCAAACTCTCTGCCTGCTGTCATTATTTGGAAGCCTTGACCTCCAGAAACTGCAGGCTGGCAGAGATTTACAGCCATGCTTCTGTATTTATAGACAACCCTCAAACAGAACACGAGGGGACCTGTGCTTTGACAGTTCTTTTTTCCAGAAGTAGGGACTACTGAATCACACTGAATTAAATGTACATGGTCATTGTTTCTCTCTTATGTCCATTCTATGATTTAGCATTGCAGAATATTTGGCTCAGTTTTTCTCTTCATAAACAGAAATGGTCTACCTGAGGATTAACCCTCTATACTAGTTACTTGGCTTGTTGGTGTGACAAAATATCCCCCAAAAGTATTAAAATTAAGAGCATTTATTTTAGCTCACACATAGTCACAGCAGGGAAGCCATAGTGACACAAGCTTCCCCAGTCAGGAAGCAGAGGGCAATGAATGCTAGATAGCATGCAGTTTGAGTTCTCTCATTTTTGTGAATTCAGGACTCCAGCCTATAAATGGTGCCATCAGAGTTAAGACAAGTCTCACCTTGGTTAACCTAATCTAGAAAATCCCTCACAGGTATGCTGGGAGCTTGACTCTTGGTGCTTATAGATCCTTTGAAGCCAACAATATTAACCATCACACCCCTCTACCAACTGAACAGAGTTGCTTAAATGGGAAGGCAAAAACATATTTCAAGTTTAAAATAGAAAAAAGTCATAATGCTTGAATAAGCAAATCTCCTGCAGCCCTGCAAGACCCCTTCTAGCCTCCCCACAGTTACCTTCACAGGCCTTCCCGTCAGCACTGGGCACGAAGCCCATGTCGCATTCACAGCGGTACCCGCCAGGGGCGTTGAGGCACTGGCCATTGCCGCAGAGATTCAGGTTCTCAGAGCACTCGTCGAGGTCTGCAGACAGAAACACAAGCCATACGTTTGCAGTCAAGTGCTTTGCAATGCCTCAGGCCCTATAATTTTTATAACTGCCAAGTTCCTGAATATAACTGTACTTCATCATAGTTCCTGCTTGAGAAATTTACATCCACTGGTTTTCTCTTATGAATGCCAATAACGAATATGCAGCAGTATGGGGTACAGATTCAGAACTCCGAACGCTAAGTGATCACCAGTGCTGCAAAGTGAATGCTAAGTCAAACTCATTGTCCAGGCTAAGATCTTTTCACAAGAAGGGTCATTCACGGGGGGACATATTCGAAAGAACATGTCACAGTGTGCGCTCATCTCTCAGGCATCAGGCTCAGCTCAAAGGGGTGACAGAGGAAGTGGATTGGCAAGATCACTAATAATAAATACCAAGCCTGTGAAGCATCGATGCCTAACAAGTGTAATTTAAACATTTTCCCCACGAAAATAAGACAAAACATCCCTGGGTCGCAGAGATGGTCTCAGCTATGGTAAAACTTTCAGTAAGCCACTCACTGAACCTTGGCTTCTCTTGTACTTACTTGACACATTATTATTAAATTCAGTGTCAGAAAGAAATTAGCGCTTCAGTTTATTTAATTAACTTAAATTTATGCTCTGAGTCACATTACCTATTTATGGCCAATGGGTAAGGGTCTTTCTTATTTAATCCTAAAGCCCTGACCCAAGAAGTTCTGTCTTTGTGCACACGCACATGTAACTGTCTGTGTGACAGGGCAGTCACACAATTATGCAGTAAGACATTTAGATTCAGATAACAAGTTTGTGCTAATTCTGTGACTTGTAATTAGTGACGAGAGGGTAGATGTTTCATGAGTTCGTCATAAAGTAAAAGAAAACCTTAAGAGCCATTCTGAATTGTTGTTGTGCTAATATACAGTGAAGGTGATGACGTGTGGGAATTTGTACTGTTTCCTCCAGCAGAGCACCGCCCCCTCTGCCCTTTTGTGTCTTCCTGCAGCAAGCTTACCTTGGGTTTGATATGCACAGCAAGACACCAAAACAAAGGTGAACACACATCAAAGGTAATATGAATTGCTTTAGAATAGTGATGTCATTATACAGATTTGATATATGTGCATACATATGTATGTATTTGCACATGTATGCATATATATGAGATGTGATAGACAGACAGACACATACACACACACTGCTCTAGCTGTTTGAGGGTTCCTTGGTGACTTGCCTCCAATGTTTCATTCCATGGGGAATCTAATCTCAGAAAGCAGTCTTTTTTTTTTACTTGACCGGCATGCCCCAGTCTTCAAACAGAATTGTTGGTCTGATGTGGGATATTACGCTTTCCAACAAGAGTCACACAGTTGTTTCCAAAGTAAGCCTACCTGTGCAGGTAAAGCCATCGCCTGTGTAGCCCTCCTTGCAGAGACAGCGGTACGACCCCATGGTGTTCTTACAGTCAGCGTGTTGGCTGCACATGTGGGTTCCATTAGAGCATTCATCCAGATCTTAGGAATAAAGTTTACATCGTTATTAATACCACCTCATTTACATTGAGTAACATACAAATTAAATTTGACTTCATAAAATCGGTATTTTCATGTTTCTAATCCGCGTGATTCATGAGTGCAACTTCTGTTATTGTTCCTGCTCACCTGTGCACTTAACGCCGTCTCCAATCCACCCAGGACTGCAGCTGCACTTGAAGCTCCCCGCTGTGTTGGTGCACACAGCGTGTCTGCCACAGTTGTGTGCCCCGATCTCACATTCATTGATGTCTGGAAAACAATCAGTGCTTTAGAAACAAAGTTCTACACAGCAGCTTTTTTGGTCTTTTTAATGACTTTGAAATAATCAAAAGTGAATTCCCTCTCATCCTTACCCTCATATAATACAGATGACTTAGTATCCACAAAGATGCTAAGCTCCCTACTGAACAGCTTTACATTTAATTTACAAAGAAGGAAAGACGTGGTCATTGCATTTGCTGTTGGTTAACTTCCACTCTCCGTATTTCTACTGGGAGCATACAGCTGCCTCTCAGCAAAGTGAACCTCTCTCCAAGTGACAACTTAAAAGGTAATGGCCTAAAGACCTTCTGGTTAGTGTTCACGGTCATGTTTTTATTGGCAATATATTTTTAAGACAACTATAGGTAATTATGCATTTTTCAATCTTTAAAGGCAATGCTTGCACATCAGAAAACTTTTGAATTACATATTTTTATTCTTAAATTTAAAGCAGTGTTATCCCACTATGTTTTACTTTTGTATGATCCTTCAATCATTTGCAGCAAATGTTGCTTAAGGTAATATGTAACTCTTCTTAGCTTCCCTTAGCCTTCTTGTATATTTCATATAAAACTCAAGTCAACCTAGAGAGAACTTTTGCCAGAATAAGAAATACCAGATTAGTATTTAGTAAAATCAAAAATGATTTCAAAATTCTCCATTCCCTGAAATTTCATTTCAAATTTAGCTAAAAGAGACTATGTAAAAATGTTATGGTGATTTCCCCCACCCCTCAAACAAACTCAGCACATAAGGAGTTACCTTCATAATTAACTCTGTCATTTACTAGGAATGAATATTCATGGATATGATTCTATGATTTTTAAATGTAAACCAATACCTCACACAAAACTTGGGTCAAGAAGAATAAGACAGGCACAGGAAATGCTGCAAGAATTTCCAGTGATCGCTCAAATAGTGGCTTGGAAAAGACACCAGGTAAGCTAGCTGTATTTACCCTTTCATTTACTCATGAAGCTCGGTTCAACAGCTTGCAAGTGTTAAGGAACTGGTGGCTTGCCAAATGTTCCATCTTAAGCCTAGAATGGCTTGGGCACAAGCACAAAATACAATAACAACAGGTTTCTCTTACAGAATTCTTTTGTAATGTCACAGATAACCATGACATGAAAATACATAGGAAAGAACATTTTTATGGATCATTGCAAGTTGTTTAGGCTAACTTTAATGTGGTCTCAACAGTCACATGAACTGACAGAGGTAATAGGGCAGTCCAATGGAGACACACAGCTTTGAACTTGTGACTGGAAGCCTTAAGTAACTGGATAATAGAGCCCACCATATCATAGAAATAAAGAAGGCCAACAATCCTGCTGAATGTCACACAGGCATTCAGGAAGGCAAGCCTTCCTATTCTGGTCTATCAGACTCCATTGAACCAATGCAGACGCTCCCAAGCATGGCAGTCTCATGTCTCAGAAGAATGTACAAATCACAGCTTTTGAGTTCTATTTTAATGTCCTTCTTTTATTTGTCATAATATTTGCAAATAATCTTGGGTGGAAAGAAGGAACTGGTGTGTGTGTATGTGTGTGTGTGTGTGTGTGTGTGTGTGTGTGTGTGTGTGTGCTATCCTCCAGATACTGCAGAGCTGCTAGAGTCTGGGTGTGAAATGCCCCCAACAGGCTCCTGTGAGTAAATATTTGCTCCCCAGCTGTGGCACTGCTTGGGAAGATCGATACCAAGGCCTAGGTAGCAGATGTGATCACCTGGGTAGAGTTTAAAGACGACATCTGCTTTGGTGGCCAAGACGTGAAAAGGCCATCCTGCAAACTACCACCACAGGCAGAGCTGCCCCGCTGCCATGGGGAAGTCAAGAGTTGTTTCTGTCAGGTGTTCCATCCCCCACAAGAAAATTAATGGATACAGAACCCAGAAAATTTCTAAGTGTAAAGAACAAGAATTCTGTTCCCCAAATGTTTAAATTTTCAGAGAAGACAGAGATTGGGCCCCACAGCCAGTAAAAAGCAAAGGTAGGGTAACCCGGGACTCAGTTTCCCTGTCCACCAACACTTCCCTTGGGCACAGATCAGTAGCAAAGATCATTTGTTTAGCAGTTTCAATTTTATTCTAAACTTTGTTTTAAAGTCTGAAATGTTGGGAATTATCAGACTCAGAAACATCCATGAACCTCTTACTAAATTCAGTTAATCAGAGCCTGCAGATCTGTCATTCTACATGCTCCCTCCATTTTTTCTTTTTACTAGCACATGTTCACTGGATAAGATGGGTCTGGTTATATTTTCATACACATATATCATGTTCTTTGGCCATTCAGCCTCCAAGTGTCTCATGTTTCTCCCTCTGTCCAGTGGTCAAAGACACCACTATTTTCACATGCTTTTACCCTTCCCGTTAACCTTGCTTTTAAGAAAATGATCACTTCTTTTGATAGAAGAAATCTCCTTTAACTATTACTATTAAAATGTAATATTAAATTCTAATTCAAGGAAATATTTTTGAAATTTTGCGTCATGCTTTGAAGGCGAAAGGAAATTCTGTTTGCAAACAGCCATGTGTCGTGGGCTTTGGAATACCTGGAAAGAGCAGTTCAAGGGTCATAGTCAGGTCTCACTTGTGAATATAACTCATCATGTTTAGTAGCTTACATGTTTGGTGTGTGAGAAAGACTGCAAGTCACACACTGAAAACACACGTCTGAGGTAACAGCGCCAGCATGAGTATGGATGTACACACACACACACACACACACACACACACACACACACACACACCAGCTTTTATTGATGAACTGTTTCCATAGCAAACAGACAAACATGAGAAACTGAGCTGCAAGGAAAACAAGCAAACAAAAGCACTGTACTGAAACACTCTTCAACAGCATGAAGGAAACAGCACAAGTTTGCCAAGAACATCTCTCTCTGTACAAATGTGTTCTTTTCTCCACAAGTTTGCTCCAGACAGAAAATTCATTTTTCAGAATAAGCAGAAGCGAAGCAAAACAAAGCAATTTAAATTCAGGCTGACACTGTAGCCTCCGCAGGCCCAGGGTCCTCTGTCACAAAGACTCACAGGTCTTTTGTGTCAGGCTCCTTGAAGGGCAAGGGTTGGCTGTGAGCAGACTTCATGGCAGGGCTCTGCCTACCTCAGAAGTCTAGCATTTGGGTACGGGATGTGTAGCCTCCCACAGCATCATCCAGAGAGAGGCCATGCCACCCTCACAAATGCCTGCCTATCTGCCTCCTAGACACCATTTGTCCCAAGGGTCCTGATCCCGTGGTCCTGACATACAGGGAAATCTCTAGAATTGGGGGTTGAGGAAGAGGGCGTGACAGCCTAAATGCAAGGGCTCCTTGGATTTCTTAATTTGGGTCAAAATTTGAGCCAAAACTATTAACTGAAGTGAACACCCACAGAGTTTCCGCAGGCTGACAGCCAGTGGAGCAGCAGTGATAAGACTACAGGGGAGATGACTGGCTGTTGGTGCGGAACGGTGTGCCTCTGAGACCCGCCAGGAACGGTTCTCAAGTGGAAGGAGCAGAGTTTGAGAGAAGGAATTACCCAGATATCTAGCTATTTCAACAATTTTAATCGTATCCACAGTTAAAGTGAGCATGTGATACCAGGGAGGTTCTTAAAATTGAGCTAGTGAAAGCTGAGACCCACTTGGGTGGCACCCTGCGAGGTCTTTCTTATCTTCTTCCAATTACGGTTACTTAGCATGAGCAGCGGAGGTCACAGGAAAATTATGACCCTACCACTTAAGCCAGAGACAGCGGAGCTGCATCCTAGGTTTCAAGCAAACGTGCATTCCCTCACCATTTAATCAAACATTCCCCTCAGCAGTATCCACAATTTGGACAAAGCTTAAGAAGAAAAAAAAATGAAGCCCTTAGCATCTGTGTGGGCTGGGAATGTGAGTCAGGGGGTGGATTCTTAACACTGCTGATGTGATTGGGAGAAGAAAACATGTTTATTTGTTAAAATGGAAACAATTAGTAATGACAAGGGAGCTGGAATATTTAGACAGAGCTGTAATGGAACCCAGAGGGTGATTTTAGTTCTCATGAAACTATGTCCTTAGGAAATAGCATATGTGTTCTTAATAATTGCTTCCCAGGGTCCTCATTTTAAAAATCCTATATAAATAAGTAGGGTGTGCACGTGTGTGTGAGTGTGTGTGTGGTTACGATACAATTGAAATGTCTCTTTTTGCTGTTACTCATAGTGTGTCTTGTTTATCCAATTAGGCATGATAAGCATCTCCGCTTACATTAGTTGTCTGGGACATTATAAACACTTGTCTTTAACACAACCGTCACCAAGGTGACCTGATGGTGCTCAAAGCTGTAACATTGATTTGAAACCAGCCTGAAAGAGCCCTAGTTACGTGAGGCTGAAAAGACATTTTGGCTGATTTTTTAAAAACTTGTTTTCAAGTGTGTGAGGCTTCCTGCCAGTTCCTGTCTGTGTAAGTCATTTCCGGTCCAGTGTGATACCCTTGGCTGTTGCTAACAGGGCTATTCACACAGGATCTTTTTCTTCTTCCCTAACACAGCCCCCTTCTCCCACATGCCACTGCCAAGCTCTCTGTCCAAGGGGACTGTTTGATTAAAGGCAGAGGACCCCGGTGATTTGCTCATGATCAGAAACCAGTAGATGAGCCCAGGACAAAATCCAGATTCTACTCTTGCAGATGTGAATATCCTAAGCCACGCTACCATGATATTTAAGGGGCCACGAAACCAGGGCTTCTTCTTTCTCATAGTACTTGCTGGATATCGCCAAACTGAAAAGTCATCCTAGACTGCAGCTGGAAAGAAGGTTCTGGCCCTTCTGATAAGACGGTGTTTCTGAGTATATTTCAATTTGTGGCTTTGCTAAAAGGTGACTGCTGGATCGTAGCACTGGCACTGACTCATCCAGTGCACAGTGAGTACTTCCTGTCCCCCAAAGTCTCAGCATCTCTGCAAATTCAATTATAAAACAAGGTTTTCTGCACACAAAGTAAAAATTTCCCTTTAAAAATGGATTCCATGCACGTGTGGCAAAGAGTTATACACACGTTTTGGTAGACTTCATGTTGCCTCTACACACCATATCTGGAATGTAAGTTCCTGAACATAGTATCTCTTTTACCTGTGTTGCAACTACAGCATGAACATAACCTTTCAGCATGATAGAGGACTGAAAATACCATCCACTAAAGGTTCCCCAGTTAGATGGACTCTAGAAAATGAAGTTGAACACACTCTTTCCTTAAGGCGATGAACGCCGTCCCCAGAGACTCCATTCTTTGGGATCATCATGGTCTTCTGCTTAACTTCAGTGAGGTTTATTTTTTCCTCTACTCATTACAATGAGCACAGAACTAGTCTACCTCATTTTCATGCTGCCGGGCCATAATCCTTCAACAAGCCTTATATTAACTTTGGCAGCTGATAATAAATGTTGAACCTGAGAATCATCTGCACCTGTGCATCTATATGGACAAGTTGGGGTTTAAGCATTCCACCGTTTACCAGGAAGGACCCCTATCCAGGCTTTCCATGAAAAGCAATAGAGGGGGCATAAAAGCTTTTCAGTATCATGCCTCTTTCAATGGCTTTGGCAGACTGATGTTTTTGAATCACCAATAATTTTACTGGCATGTATTAGCAAGTCTGACAGTTAACACGGCCGCTTTATAACTGATAAATATATTCTGATGCTCTCTTGAAATGCTTTGATAGAATTGAGATAAGGAGCCACACATTCTCAAACTGCCAATAGGCCGATGTTAATGTTTAAGTCTCAAGGACTTGCCAAGCAGCTTTTAGAATTCAGGCCCAACCCACTACTTATTAAATGTTTCTTTTTGTAGTTACCTAATTCAAACTCACCATGATGTTTTAAGTTATGTTATATGTCATAATTGGTAACTTTAATACAAGTTGTTACAGTAAAACTTGACTCTGTCACTCCATGTACTTAGTTTCATTATTTCATGTTTGAAAACAACTAAATAAGTGTAAAACAAGATCGTGGGATTCTTCCACTTGGTGTTTAACAGCACAGTCTCCAGAAAACACTGGGAAAGGTTTTCTTAAGTTACTGATAATAAACTAGAGGATTGAGAATGGTTCAATTCCCTATGACATTAGCTAAGTCACACAAATAAAGACTTATTTAGGATAAAGGGTAATGCATCAAAGGCAGTGAGGAACTGAAGACTGGTAAAATCTAATAAACTGGGACATTTTCTTTAGAAGACAGGTTTAATTGTAAAATTAAGTGTTGGCAAAGAAGATTATCAAAAGATCTTGCTCTGATAAAGGGGTGTGAATGTTCAGTCACTAGTATGGTCACTAATGTGACCTGAAAGTATGATTCTTAACCTATAAAAATCACATCATCGGTCATGTTAACTTACCCAACACAATATATCTTTATTTTCACAGATAGAAGGACAGACTTCACCTTGGGTCTAATAAAGCATGGAAAGTTTCAGAAGGCATAGAAGCTAAGTGAATGAACTATTGTATGCAAAATACCTATAACACAGTTAAAATGGCAAGTCTAAAACCCCGAGTTAAACTGCTATTATTATGGCAGTTTCTTAGCTAACTGATATTTTTTGATTGATATGACAAAGGAAGCTTACCTGTACAGCCCGTTTTTCCCTTTTTCCCTGAATAGCCCATATCACAGTGGCAGATAAATGAGCCTTTAGTGTTCTCACAGGTCCCACTGAGACAGATATTTGGATTCAGGTCACATTCATTGACATCTGTAAGATAGAGAAATGATTCATATATCCAAGTTTCTGCTGTAATGAATACTTTCTCCCTGAGATAAAAGAGCTATGATAGAATACTAAGAAATTGTTAGATGCTTTCACTAAAAAATCTTGAAAAGTAAACATTATAAAATATTATATTTAAATGCTTTCAATCAAAAAGAATATAAGAAACTCCATATACACTTTTTTTTTTGTGCCAACTAGTCATGTAACCCTGGCTCTTATGTTTCCCACAGTGGGAGGGTCAGGTGGCCAGGAAATGCACTGAACCCTGCTGAATAGAAGTGTGTTTTTCTAGGAGCCAACATACTTTGTGGTAAGATAACTGATTCTTGTGCTTGTCTGAGGATTCAGAAAGCAAGTCATCCACAAGCTATAGAAGCCAGTATCTGGGTCTTTTATTTATGGTGTTACAGATTCCATCTGTGTGATAACTATAATTTAGTTTCCACATTAAAAAAAGAAAGAATAGAAGAGAGTAGGAGAGATGGCTCAGTGGTTAGGAGTACTGGCTGTTCTTCCAGAGGATCAGGGTTTGATTCCCAGCACCCACATGGCAGCTCACAACTGTCTGTAACTCCAGTCCTAAGTGATTCAATGCCCACTTCTACATCTTCTGGCCTCCACTGGCACAGGCTATGCATATGATGCACATACAGATATACCAGCAAAGTACCCGTCCACATAACTAATGTCCACATGGCCCATCTTAGGCTCCTACTGCTGGCCAAGAGAGAATGACCTTCTCACTAGACACAACTAAAAAATAAATAAAAAGAAAGTGGACAATAGATAGAAAAAAATGCTTTTCTAGGCTCTGGGCATTAGGCAACAAAACTACAGTGATTCCCAAGATAACAAAAATAAATTAAGTGGGTTCTAGGTTATTCTCAGATTACTGAGGAGCAAATTCTAGGCCTGGGCCTATGGGAGATGATAGCACATAGAACCAGATGACATCACAGACCCAGCTAAAAGCCAGAAGAGAATGGCATAGAGAGGACACAAGTGACCACAGATGGCTCTGCAGATATTCAGAGCAATGGTGAGTTCAGTCACCCAAGACACAAACCACCCAGGCTGGGGAGGCACTGTTCATCCAGTCCAGCAAACCTTGGCCTTCACAGAAGACCTACAATGATGCCCCTTCCCCACGGCTAAATTAGAAAGCCTTAGACTTCACATGGACCAGAGTACAGTTCCAGAAGTGTCTTGCCTCAGTAATGCCTCAAAAAATAGTTCTGCACTACCTGCTGCTTAAAAGTAAGACTTGAAAAAGGCTCAGCCCAGTTCCCGATGACATAACTGCATTCTCACAGTTTGCCAATACTTCTAGAACACAGAAATAGCCATCAATCCCAAGGTGAAATTTAAAATTACTGGCTCACAACAAAAAGATATCAGGCAGGAGATGAAACAGGGAATCTAAACAAACTGATCTTTGCATGATTTCACAGTACTTGTGACTGGGCAGGTGAGTTAGTTGATGCTGCCTTCTTTCTTACCTACACAAGTCTTCATGTCTTCAGATGCCATGAACCCATCGTAGCACAGGCACCTGTACTCTCCAGGTATGTTTGTACACTGACCACCATCACAGATATTGGGGTTATCTTCACACTCATCAATGTCTAAAGAGAAGAAAACCAACAACCACAAGTTATAGACATTGATATTGGCTCCATTACACAGTGAGCAAGCAATAACTGAGCCAACTCAAAAGAAATTCAGCCCGCTTGAATAAGATGAACACCTCCTTAGCTTTATATCAGTTACTGCGTCAGGTTATAATGGGCAGAGGACCCAGTTACTCTCAAAACTCTCAGCATATGATCTAAGGATACAACAGATCCATGCTGATCTGAAAGACTAGCAGTAAAAATGTAAACATGAATTTGTAATTCAAAATGATTGTGAACTGTATTTTATCACTGTCCAGTTATAAATAGTTATTTTCAACATTTACCTTGACTAGTCAAATTTACATAGGTGTGGTTTTTGGGGGTTGTTAAAGGTCAAATAAAATCATATGGTTCCTAAGTTTGAATTCGCTTCTTAACCAGAGAGCCAAAACTCAAAGGCTGAGTTACCCACTCCACTTTTTCTCCCCTTGGCTGCCTGACTCTTCCAGCATAAAACAGGAAGATGGGAGTGTTAGGAGAGTAACTCTCAAACTCCAGCATCTTTCCAAACACACGGATCACAAGATGACCCAGTACTTTTCAGTTCAGTAGATATGGAGAGAGCCTGAGGTTTTGTATTTTCACAAACCCTTGGGTAATGTGGCTGCTGCAGAAAACACACTCAGAATTGCACCAAATTGGGTTCAAGATCCAACTCTCCAAGATGCTGTTTAATGAACAAAATGCTTTCTAGCCATTTATTTCAGTGCTATCCTAACTTTCATACAATCTCAATTGTAGTTTATAAATGAAGATCCGCTGCTAAGCGTCTTGCTTAATGACACACAGCTAAAATATGCAACAGACAAGGACTTGAAGGACTTGACACCAAGGTTGTTAGAGTCCAAAGCCCAGGCCCTGAACAACTCTACTTGGGTGATTGTTACAGAAAGATATAACGAGAGGGTAAAGATGCTCACCTGTGCATGATCTCTGGTCTGGCATCAGTGCAAACCCTGGCTGACAGCTACACTCATAGCTGCCTTCAGAGTTTGTGCAGAAGGTTTCACAGCCACCGTTCATTATGCTGCATTCATCGATGTCTAAGAGAAGTGAGAACAATATTAGAATGTTTGTTCTCTCCCAAACTCTTGATGAAATTTAATTGCTGCCATAGACATGTTAAGGGATGGGATTTTGTGGAGGTGATTAAGCTAGGAGGACACCATTCTATGGGTGGCAGTGGTGCCATTAGAAAATGGGTGAATTTGGCCACTTTTGTTTACTCTCTCTCTTGCCTTTCATACATTTTGGTGGAGCAAAAAGGGCCCATACCCAATGCCAGCATTTTGCTGTTGCTTCCCAGCCTCCAATTTTTATCATTATAAATTAGTCAGTCTCAGATATTCCAGTATAGCACATAAAAACTGACTGAGACGTCTTCTTCTGTGTTTACAGTTGTAGCGATCTTCTTGGTCATCGATTTAGTTATGAACTCGAATTATGGCTTAATGGGCTAAGGTTCTGATCCTTTGCAAGAACCTGAATTGAAGTTTTGAGTTGTCCTTGGGTAGTTTTCAACAGAATTTGTGCTGATTTATGGTTTTGGGGTGGAAACCATCTGAGACTTGGCAGATCCACATGGTGTACATCTCGTGCCAGGCCCAAACTGGCAGCATTTACACAATTTCACTTTGACTTTGGGCATGATAAAGCCACAGGGCCTCCAATGTCACTCTCCACAGCAGGACTAAACCTACAGAGGACCAACCACAAAACAAAATTCTTGTCCCACGAAAACCCATACTTAAGAAGTGCCAGACATGGCCTCGATTCCAGGGAAAGATATGAACATTCCATGGCCTTCTTTGAAATCTTCAGATGATCTCTATCATGTGGGGCAGAGACCTCACCTCATGCCTTTCTGTGTTTTCCATGGCACTTACCACACTTAGCTCATTTCAGGGTTAATTATCGCTGGCTGATTTGCTTTGACATGCCTATGCTTTGTTGATTATTCAAAAAGTATACATCAGATTACATATCTTTCACTCATCTTCTTTAAAGAGGAAAGCAAGGTGTAAATATTGTGAGCTGCTATGAGATTTTATTTCCAGTGAAACAGGAAAGATTAAGCAAAAGAATCCAACTATGATGATGGAACTGGAGTGTTTTATAAAGAGAGGAAATAAAATACAACATGAAATAAAAGGAAGGCTATCACTTACCAACGCAGAAGAGCCTATCAGGAGATGAGTGATAACCCGGGTTACAGGCACACTGATACTTCCCTATGAGGTTGACACAACGACCATTGGGACAAAGGTTTGCACTCAGTTCACACTCGTTGATGTCTGTTTAGAAACAAAGAACATCACAGAAACTTAAGTGTTCAAATCTGGCAGAGATACAGGTCAAACAACTGACTTCACATAAGTGGTCTAAAGAGTTATTCCTTACCAATGCATGCAGAGATGTTTGGGGACAGTTGGTGACCAGGAGGGCATTCACAGCGATAGCTTCCCTCTGTGTTGTGGCAAATGCCTCCTCGGCACAGGAGTGGATCTCTCTGACATTCGTCAATATCTGTAAAATGGAAGTGCCCCACATTGAAGATGCTGACACCCAGTTCTTCTCCTTTGCCGGTGCCCTGTTCTCCTTTACCAGGCTGCCCCCCTTTCCAACCCTCAGTTCTGGGAGAACTGCTGTCCACTTCATTCAGAAATGCCTGTGAGGTGAGTGGTCACAGCACTTTCCCGCATTAGAAGCAATCCACAGCCAGTCAGTAATTGACTGGCTTGGAAATAAAAAAACCTTACTCTTGTCTCAATCCTGGTGCCACTTGTACCGCCGGAGTTCCCTGTGGTAACTGAATGTGCCAAGACGCAGCCAGACTGCACTATGCTTCTTCTCTGCCACTCTGAGGGGTTCCTCCCTCAAAAAATATTCCTTCAAATCCCATAACAAAACAAAGTGCAGACAAACCAAAATACCCAACTCCACCACACTTGTGTGCAGGAATCTCATCTCAAACTTGGTTCATAGGGAACCTGACCTAAGGCAGCTTAGTCAATGCTGTCTTCTAGAACAGTCAGACAGATACCCTGAGATGGAACTTATTACAGCTTCCATCTGAATTGTTCTCAATTCATTCTGTCAGGTGTCGAAGTTGCTCAAGGCCTCACACCTTGCCACTGGAGTCGCCCACAATTCTTTAGACCCCCGTGTCTTCCTATGGGTCTCTGTCTGGCACAGGCTGCCCCCATTGTCAGAAGGTTGGACAGTAGGGATTGCCTGGGAAACTATGGTGCCTATGAGGAACCCAGGCTTCTTGAAGCCCTTTGCCTCCCATGATGCTCAGAGCAGCGCAAGCTCACCCATGCAGTTCTTCATCATCATGAATCCACTCTCATAGCCTTCGTCACACTTGCATTCAAAGTCCCCTGGGGTGTTCACACACTGGCCTCGGCCACAGAGGTCAGGAGATATGCGGCACTCATCAATGTCTGCATGGGAAACAGGGCAGTGACAGTGAGGGTGGGCACACCTTAGAGCTGGGAGCAGCAACACAGGAAAGAGGGAGCAAGCCTCGGAAAGGGCTCCTCACCTCCCATCCCTGGAGACCCACACTGACCTGTGCAGTTCCTCTCTTCTGAGTCCAGGGCAAAGCCACTGTCGCACCTGCACTTGAAGCTGCCGATGGTGTTTCTGCACTTGCCGTGGGTACAGAGGCTGGGTATCATCTTACACTCGTTGATATCTGTAGGAACAGAAAAAAATGCAAGGAAGAAAGGCTTATGAGCAACCACATAGGACATCTCAGGGGTCCACACTTTCACCCCAGAAGGTTGGAGGGCCTTGATTTAAGGTCTTGGCAATATTCAACTAAAAATTGTGTGATAATCCGGGGGCTAGCCATTCTGACTTCCACATTTCAAGAGAACACTGTTAAGGAAGCTAGGTGTGCTTTGGACTTCTGGCACCCTGGTCACTTCCTGGGACACAGCAAGCACTTGATAATTAGTGGTCAATGAATGGCTGAACAGCAAATGCTGCTTAAAGCACATGGACAACGACAATACAGCATCCACCACAGCCACCACAGCCACCACAGCCATCACAGCCACCACAGCTGCCTCAGCCACCACAGCCACCACAGCCACCTCAGCCACCACAGCCACCACAGCCACCTCAGCCACCACAGCCACCTCAGCCACCTTGCTGCCTCAGCTGCCTCAGCCGCCTCAGCCACCACAGCCACCTCAGCCACCTCAGCTGACTCAGCCACCACAGCCGCCACAGCCACCACAACCACCTCAGCTACCTCAGCTGCCTCAGCCACCACAGCTACCTCAGCCACCTTAGCTGCCTCAGTCACCACAGTCATCCATCCACTTGAGCCACCATAGCCACCCAGCTACCATAGCCACCTCTGCCACCTCAGCCACCATAGCCACCTCAGCCACCTCAGCTGACTCGGCCAACACAGCCACCTCAGCTGCCACAGCCACCACAGTCACCACAGCCACCACGGCCACCACAGCCACCTCAGCTACCTCAGCCGCCTCAGCCGCCTCAGCCACCACAGCCACCACAGCCACCTCAGCCATCACAGCCACCCACCCACTACAGCCATCATGGCAGTAGGATGAGGCTCTTATTTGACTCTTTGCCACTTCCTTGAAAACAACTTAAAATGACTTTGAGAATTTAAAGATGCTGTTTATAGTTTAAATTATTCACAAATAATCCATACAACTTTAATTTTCTCAGCATTACATATCATTGCTATAAATTAAAGAGCTTCTTGTATATAAGGCCATATATATGTAACAGGTAACCCAGGTTTCTCCCTCCTGGAGCCCTTCCAGAAGCAAGAAACAGAAGTTCATTCTGCGTGTCATGACATCAAGAACTGGTGGACCAAATTAAGACCCTCAAGTCCCTCGCAGCAGCAGACTACCACAGTTGGTGGGTCACACTTTTTTACTTAATTAAGAGAAGTTTAAGGTGGCCATGTAGAACCTGCCTCTCTAGACAGGACTGTTTGGGTGATCACAATAGAATAACAGTTGAAAAAAAAAAAGAAGAGAGGAGAAGAGAAGAAAGGCACAGAGAGAAGAATGAGGAGGAAAACAAAAGTTTGTTTTTGTACAAAGACAATTGTTCAGTGCTTATGTACTTAGTTCCCATTTTTCTGACCTGATTTAGTCATGGAGAATATGATAAGGAGGTCTCTGACTTCCAAAGCCCAACATGAGAGACAGCAGGCAACACTGAGCAAATGCTCCACTAATAACAAATGCTGGGGCTTCTACTTAATCACAATTCTTGGTGAACTGGGGCTGGGGCACAGCTCACTGGGCAAAGAACTTGCTGTGCATCCTCAAAAGACCTGAGTTTGAATCCCAAGCATCCACATAAAAAAAGCCAGGAATGGCCATGGGGCTCTGTAAACCCTGTGCTGGGAACAGAGGGTAGAGATAGGAAAACCCTGGGGGTTGTGGCCAACTAGCCCAGAATGGTGAGCTTTGGGCTCAGTAAGAGACATGGTCTCAAGAAATAAGGTAGAGACACTCATGTTAGCCTCTGGCCTTCACACACACACACACACACACTCACTCACACACACACACACAGGTAAACACATCCTACACACACCTCCCTCCTCCTGAATAAACAGAATTCTTGGTAGAATCATTTTTTTCATATACTAAAGTAAACAATCACTATGCCATTGTCCATAGAAGTTAAATTAGTCTTAGAATTAGGTTAAAGTAATAACTTCTTATTTTGACATAGACTTCAGATCATGGTATGACCAAAGAAAATAACGTTTGAAACATGGACAAAGAGTACCTATTAGTGCATTCTTACAGCACTCATTAGCAACAGGAGTGCTTCAAACGGGACAAATGGTCAAATCACACCATTTCAGCAGATGGCATTCAACTTTCCAGTAGTTCTCAACTAGGATAGCACTACAGACTTATTTTAATAGTTGATGATAGAAGAGGTAAGAGACCTCGAGACGTTCTGAGAAGTAGGGACTCGAGGGAGCTTGCCATTGTCAAAGCAGGGAGGAAGAGCAGGGGGCAGGGAGGGGAGAGGGAGAGGAGTTAGGACTTTTCTCAGACATTGAAATGATGAAGGAATGACCACGCTGATGGTATCTGCAGCACACTGGGCTCACAAAACGGCATCTCCTGGTCTACAGAGAAAAGCAATCAGCCACAAGAACAATGTACCTTTGAAGAAAGGTTTCCCGTTTGTAATATCTTTTGTTGCAAACCCGGGTCCTCGGGGACAGAGCTCCTCATACTCTGGGGTGTTTCTCACTGGACACTCCTCACACTCTTCGGTTCCCCAGGCTGCTCCAACGGAGCAGCAGCAGGCATCCATACGATGACGGCCAGCAATCGGCAGGGTGCACTCCTCATCATCATACCTCAGGAAGCAGGTCTCCAGGCGGATGTCTGTCAGAGGGGGAGAGAGACTCAGGACAGCTATCCTTCACTGTTCAACTTTTGTTAGGGAAAATACAACATATGCTAATTTGCTATATCCATGACTACACTTTTTTTTCAGGGTTGTGTGGTAGGTATTCCTGTTAATGAAGACTTTGTTCTTTTCCTCAGGTATGCTTACAAAGCCTATTTGTGAAAAGCTTCCTTCCAACTTTTGGTGTTTAGTGATAATTCTACACAGGCACTTTGCTGTTCCTGGACATCTCCTAGTAAAGTCCTGTCCATCACCAATGCATGCATTCCATGATGTCTTGGCATTGCCTCTCTACTGAAGAACAAACTCACTGTGTTGTTGGAGTACATCATATTACTCAAACACTATGACCTCAGACTGACTTCATTTCTGGAGACATGGAATACTAGTCTGGAATGAAGGCTTCCCTAATGATTAAAGAGGAAATGGCAAGCAAAAGTTAGCCACTCTTCTAAGATGTTTTCATTTCCATACCTGTGTATGTGTACATTCTTTGGGAGTACTCCTATTACCAGCCCCAAATTTAAGGGACAGTGAAGAAGACTGACAGACCAGGGGACTGAAGACCTTCACTCTGGCGCTGTTCTGCAAGGAACTGCATCTTAACAAAACCAACATGCCTGAACCCAAATCGGCATGCTGACTGAATGATGTGGCCATCTCTCAGGAAGTGTTGTGATGCTCCAATGAGATTACATACCCAAGAACCTACAAATATTATCAAAGCATGTCTTCCTTCCTATCTGCCTTCACAAAATGGTTGTAACTATTTGCCTTAGTGTTCAATTTACCTAGTATTTAAAAAAAAAGCCTTCTGAAGCATCTAGGAATCCTTATGTCAAAATTTCCCAGACTAAGACAGGCAAATTAAAGGAAACTCCATATTAAACACTAGGGCATCTTTCAATTGAGAATCTAGAAGAATGTTTTCATTAAATAAAAATTCCTCCTAAATAAATAAAGATTTGGAGCTGGATTTGCTGATATCCTTAGTTACAAAAAGACACTAGGCTCTGAGCTCCCCTTCTTCTCCATATTGTAGATACTTTAAAAATCTGTGTCAAAACTTGCATGCACATGATGTGGTCCTCACTAGGGATAGTCTTCTGAGTGATGGAGTTTCAGGTGTGAACTACAGGTGACATTATCTCTGGGATCAAAGGTAAGAAACCAGAGAGCTTCTGGACTTCATCCTGGCAGTGAGATGCTATGACAGTGACTCTAGGAGCCAGGCAGATAACACAGCTAAAGAGCCATGGGACTGCCTTCTGAAGACTCCAAGTCTAGATTCTATATCTAGTCTCTTCCATGTCACTGGGATGGGATGACTGGATATGCAGTGCCCCCTGGGTGTGGAGATTCCCATACAACCAGTAGAGTTAGCACTGTCCCTCCATCACTCTCTCCCTGCCTCCCTGCTTCCCCTTTTCTCCCTCTCTCCCTCCCTCCCTCCTCAACCTCCTTCTCTTGATATCAACAGGGATTTCCTATAAGGACTATCTGACCAGTTATAGCACAGGACTAGAAGTAATGGCATGCAGCTCCCCATTAAGTACAAATGTTCTTCTTTCTCCCACTCAGCATATAAGGACAGTACTAGAAACTGTGTCTGCAGTGATTCCAAGAATTGAAAGACCAACAAGGAGAGACTAAAGCCTTTCCTCTATGCTTCCCAATTCCAAAGAGTTAGAAAGGCAGCTTGTCAAGAAAACCACCATAGAGCCTAGCAGATGAACTAAACCCACCTCTGTGTGTGTGTGTGTGTGTGTGTGTGTGTGTGTGTGTGTGTGTGTGTGTGTGTACTTGGGATCAAATGTCCAACTGCATCTTATTCATCCTTACCAAGGCAGATTCTCCCTGTGGCATCCAAGGTCATTCCATTGGGACACTCGCATTTGAATGAACCCCTGGAGTTGACACATAGGCCATTTTTGCATACTCCTGGGAACACTTCACATTCATTGATATCTAAAAACAAAAATCATTAAGTCAATATATTTGTATGAGTTAATTCTGTCTTACCTCACTCATAAATTCACAACGATCCTCACAAAAGAAAGGGTCTTTTGAAAAGTTCAAAACACTATCTTGCTTCCCAACAGTTCATATGAACTTCTGATGTGTCTAAATAACAACCATGGGTCTGTTCACTAAAATTATGAGTCTCTCAGCTAGCCTCTGGGAATAGTGTTTGAGTTGTAGAGATGGGGTCTAACGGATTATGGGGACAGCTTTGATAAGTAAGGTTCTGAGGGTTATAATTAGCTTTAGGAAACAAGATGACTGGAAGCAGACAAGTGTGGCCTTCCAAATTATCAAAGAAGAAAAAGCTAGAGCTCGAGTGCATAAGAATCAAATCCTGTGGTGGGATATGTAAGCCTGTTCAGGAGTACTGAACCCAGGTGGTTGGTTGGGTGAGGAAGAGTAAATACACATGAACATCCATTCATCATCACCCAATCCTTCCCAGTTTGCCTCATGGAGCAGTGTGTTCTCTGTACTTAATGTGGAAAAACAGACATTATCGAATTAATCCAGAGAACCACAATTCAAATGCCACACACACACACACACACACACACACACACACACACACACACACACACACACACACACACACAGTCTATTTTAAAGAGGTCACTCTCCAAGCCAAGAGCATTGAGGAAAAGTCTCAATGTTTTTTTAAAAATTAAGTCGAATCTACTTTTATGGGGTTGTTCCTAGGGGCTTTTCCTCAGTCATTTGTAGACCAAAGCATGCTGTTAAAGTTCAGAAAAGTTATGAACGGCTGGTCCAGACCAGAAAAAAGCCAAAGGATTCAGTCATCATTTGGAAAGCAAGCCCTTGGGTGGGGGTTGTGGTATTCCTCTTTGTTTTAGCAGGAAAAAGCTTCATTTTATCCCACATATGGGACTAACTGTTGTTTTTTAAATACTTCAGCTGCTGTGTCATGTCAGGCAGTGTTAGTCACCATGACCTATATCTACTCAGGACTCTGTGAGAAAGAGCCAGAGCAAACTGCAGAGGGTCCACATAGACCTTGAAAACTGAGGCAACTGAGTTTACCCCTGCAAGTACCCATGAATGTGACACAAATAAACATGCAACAACAATTTAAAAAAGGGGTCGGGGAGCTAACCAAGAATGCAAACTTGGCTGTCTTTGAAAAAAAAGACAAAGCCTGTTTTTTTTCTCCTGATCTGTAGACACCATTTGAAGATGCAGCCACTCCAAATGATGTATGGTTATTCTAAAACATCTCCAGCCATGCTGTCCTTTGACCATAGTGAACTAACACTGGCAACAGCTTGTGCATTTAACATCTGTTCTGTTCTCTGCTTCTCAGTCATTTTCTTTTTCTTTGCAGCAAGATAAAGGAACTGTGAAGTTCCTTTACTCCTTTATCCAGGCCAAGTTAACACAAGCATTCTTCATACACACAAACATGTACTGTTTATACGTAATAAGAAATACCTTCACATTGTGTGCCTTTAATTCTCGAGAACCCTTTACCACATATGGGATCTGTGGGGGAAAACAAAACAAGGTTAACATCTGTCTATACTTCCCAGTAATGATAAGTAGAAGAAACATGAAGCAGTGCCTGGAACAGGAGCTGGGTTTTTCTGCTATGAGTGTGCATGGGGCTGCATAGATAAGGAAGAGAGTAATAAAATGCCTCCACTAGCCAAGCCCAGCTTGCAGGAATTGGTGCTTCAGGGAAACACTGCAAGCTAGCCACGTGACCACATGGAGCAAGGAAATGGCAAACTGACCAGAATCACATAAAATTGATGTCCTTGATATTTCTCTGGTTTCCTATACAGGGATATGTTTTTATCAAGGTCCTATGAGGACCTAAATAAACGAAGTGACCAGTGAGGTGACAGTTTCTCTTACCGACTTGACATACGGTACACGGGCTCCCCCAGGCAGCACCAAGGGAAGAGCAGCATTCAGACTTCAAGGTGGCTCCATTGATATTGATCTCACACCGCCCATCGATGACAGTCTGCCAGCAAGTGCCCTTGATGGTTTCTGCAGAAAGAGGGGGGGTGATGGACATCGAACAGAATCGTATCAAAAATCAGATGCACACATTGGAATTACAGCATTATGAAACAAGGAACAATTATCATTTTTAGTGTCTCTCCTATAGCTAAACTTCCATTGCAGTCAAAGCAGACATTAAGCACAGTAGCACTGAATTATTGAAAAACACTGAAAACGCATCCTCAGAAGGATACATACCTATGCAGATGGTTTTTGTTGGATCCAAAGTGCTTTCAGGAGAACATTCGCAAATAAAAGATCCAGGACTGTTCTTGCAGACTCCGTTAATGCAAGGACTCGATTCACATTCATCAATGTCTGAAACAAAAGTCTCCATTACTACTGAAAGCTGGTCTTAGGCATAAAATGCATAACTCAACTTCAGCCTTAATTGTTACCACGTATTCCTCATTAGATAGTAAAGCTGGCCTAAACAGGTCTTTCCAAACTAGAAGGAATGTCAAAATACTAACTGAGCATATTTCTTTAGTATAGAAACTGGCACATGACTGAGTCTTTGTATTCAGAAAAATCTGGAGAAAATTATGGACTCAAATTATACATGCACAACATTTTCTTCATCTATTACGTGATGGCAAATAAAATGCCAGCTAGAGGCAAATGAAAACGAATGCCCTAAAACCACCCTGAAAGGGTGAGCAAAATGCCAAATACTAGTACCATCTGTTGCTAGAGTTTGTACAGTGCCATTTAGAAGCAAACAATCCCAACAGAATTGGTTTGATTATCTGAAATAGAAGAGACTCCAATTTACTCCCCAGGGTCTATAGTAGCTTTCCCAGAAAGAATAAGGTACATAGAGTAAAAACAAAGGCACAATTACCTTCACAGGTCTTTAGGTCAGGTTTGTACACAAATCCCTTGGGACAGGTACAAACAAAACTTCCAGGGGTGTTTCTACATTGTCCATTGTCACAAAGTAGACTGTTGAGCACACATTCATTAATATCTGGAAAGACAAGAAATGGGAACATTTGCAAGAGGTTGTCCCTCACGGGCAACACCTTTCTCTTTTAGGTTAGGTCTTTAAGTTCGTAATGGCATAGTCAAGTCTACCAAAGACAGGACTCTTGGTCCATTGGTTTTCACAAAATAGGAGTTTGTTTTGCTTGTCCAAACTAGGTATCGACAAAGCCTCCAGCTGCCAAATGCTTTTTAATTCAACTCTTGTATTGTTTGAAAATTAGTAATCTTTATTTTTGTAATTGCTTTACAGCGTTAGATTTAAAAGGACTAATCTTACTGGTTTAAGGAACTAAATAAGTAGAAAGCAGCATCAATATGACAGTGCACACCTGTAGACCCACCGGGAGGTGAAGGGTGTGTGGAATTACTCCAATCACAGCAGTGAACATACTTAAATACATGAGGTTTTCAGAAAATACTGTTCTGTGCAACTAAAGAATGCTGAAGAAAAAATAATGTCCTAGGCTGACTGTTTTCTTCCTAACTAAATGATTTATTTAGTTTCCGGCTTCTTCCTTCATTAAAGGTTGTTATCACATGGAAGGAAAGGAATGCTTGTTAAAGTTAACATAGAATCACGATTACTGAAAGCAAGCTGTACTTTCACTGCTTAGATCTAAGGAGTGTTGGGAGAGCTGTGTAGTAGAAACAGGAGTGGCTCTATAGCCATGTGAGAAAGACTCCCAACACTTGTGTTTCCTACACCTAACAAACTTCTCTTTTACCAAGTGAATCTGCCAAATGGTTCTTTACAAGCTCACAGAAAGCAAGCTGAGCTTACCGACACAGTTTTTCCCAGTTATGTCTACTTCATATCCTGAATTGCATATACATTTGTAGGTCCCACGGAGATTTTCACAAATTCCATTCGGGCAAATATCAGGATCTAATGCACACTCATTTATATCTACAGGACCAAAAAAAATCATTCAGTCACATTTTAAAACAAACATTAAATTTAAAAAAGTACAATATGTGCAACCACCTTAGGACTTCTCACTAGGGCTCCAGTTCACTTGGAAGAGAATATCTCATTCTTTTTGTTCTCTGCATATGGCATTAGTCAAATCTTCCCTTATCCAAGACCCTGCAGCAAAGCTAGCATCTCAGCTGTGACCATAAGATCAACCATCATTTGTGAATTAAGCTGAAGTTGTCCTGGATGGTCTGAGCACCAGGATGGAAAGTGGATGATGTGCAGAGCCCAAGTCCCTGACACTACCTCTTTCCCTTTCTCTGCCTCCCATACTGCCAACAAGGTGACTACTACATCATGGCCTTGCTTCAAATTTTTGTTAAATTCAACAACATCTTCAAATTAAAGTATGAACCTTATGCTTATTGGCTCTAAATTAAGTGCTCATGCAAGGCCCCCTCTCCTTCAGCGGGTATCCTGAGACACTGAAAGCAAGCTCAGAATATCTGGTTTGACCCTGAGGACGTCAGGCACTTCCTCTTCTGTGCTCTCACATACTTAGGAGGCCTCTCTAGTGGCAGAGAGGAAGGAAGAATGACAGAACGTGGATGGATTGTCTTTGTAAGTCAGGGTTGTCATCTGCTTCATCTCCATGTCCTTATCATAGATTATTTGATCCCCACCGACTCCATCACTAAGTTCCTTACTTCACTCTCTTTCTCAACATTCTCTCCTCATCATTATCCACACACATCACAAAGTGGCTCCGCCCCTCTGGCTTCCCCCAGAGCCCCCTAGTTAAATCGCTTAGTTTTATATGAGTGAGGAAGTGCCTTCTTCTTGTCACCATGTTCGCACTCATCTCAGTAGTCTCTTGATTCTATTCTTTCTTATGACACTCAACATTTCTCCAGTTCCTAAACAAATTTTCTTCTAACTTAGCTAGTTGCTGTAACTTTTTGTTACAAAACTTAGGTGGCTCTTTTGACTGAACCTTTGGATGGAAATCATGAAAGCCTCAGCTCGCTACTTCTCTAGAATGAGCAATGCCAATCATTGTATCTCATTTACAGCTCTCCATCGATTGCCCTTGGAAAGGCCAGTGAGCAAGCTCCACAGTGTGCCACAGCAGCTCTGCCTTGCCGGCTTCTAGGTAGCCCACGTCCATCACTCTGAGATGATGGCCAGTCAGGTGTCAGACCAATCTGTCGCAGAGTAACTAGATACCCACAGAAGACTCAAAACTGCGTCCACACATGCTTAAGTCAGTCAGTTTCAGAATAACTCCTTACCAGTGCCTGCTGAGGTCATGCCTGGTCCACTGCTGCAGAGTGCCTGGTATTCCGCTGTAATAAATTATCAGATAGTAAATGAGTCCCTTGTTTGCACAACAGGTCAATTCCGCCATTGGCTTACACACATCATTTCCTCCAAAGCCAGGAGAACCAAGCTAGTGGTAACAGAAGGGGCAGCGTCTCCTGGGGTCGATCACCTTTATACCCGGCTTTCATTTGAAGGGTTCCACAGCGCTTGCCGAGGAACTTGACTTTGAAGGATACCGGGAAGTCATAGCAATTTCTTGGGCAAAGCACTTCTGGAAAAGGTGTTTTTTCCTACAACTCAATTTGTTCACCAGGGAACACTTTGCACATACAGTGAAACACGCCTGTTAAAATGTGGTTTCTTAGCTGTTAATAAAACTTTTCCCTGCCCTCCTGGGAATAGTTCTGTTTCTCAGTACTAGCAGGCTTTCCAGGACAATCAAGTTCTCACATTTCCTCAGTTCTCTGCAGATGAGCTGGGCTCTCCTGACAAGGACACAGCAAAGCATATAATGTCATGTGTAAGAGTATTTTCTGAATCATTGGGATCTGTTCATTTTCCACGGTGAATCCACGGAAAACTTTTGATAAAATGTTAAAGTCATGCCTGACCATGGTTTCTGGCAGCTGCAACCAGAGCCACATATATCTATGTTCAGAACTGCACATGGGGAAATGGGACTTTAACAGAGGGAGCAAACACTTGCTGTATTTCTGATGGTGCTAGAAATAAATGAGTTTTGAAAACCTAAAATTAAAATTAATCTTTAACCAGGCATGGTGGCACACGCCTTTAATTCTAACACTTGAGAAGCAGAGGCAGGAGGATCTCTATAAGCTAGAAGACATCCTGGTCTACATAGTGAGTTTCAGGACAGCCAGGGCTACACAGTGAGACCCTGTCTCAAAATCAAAACACACACACACACACACACAATCAAACAAACAAAAATAAGAAAGCAGCATTAAAAATGAATCTTCCAAAGTGTGTGTATTGTAACAAATAGTAATTTGAGAATAAACTGTTTTCTTTTTTTTTTTAAGCATTTAAAAGGATGCCAAAAAGGAACAAGGAGGACTGTGTCAGTTACTGTATATTTAAAAGCCAGAGATTGAGAGACGACAACAACAAAAACATATGTTGGTTATTATTTCACATTCTCAACTAGTAAAAAGGTCACGAAACTTAGTGAATAATAAAGCAGGAAAACAAAACATGGCAGTTTTCCGGACAGCATTCTCTAATTTAGATTAGCTAATGCCTGACCTAAACAGAAGCATGGGGTGGTGGCCACTGTGTTTGCAACTGTCAGGACCTGAGGGTTCCGTGTAACTAAGGGACCTGAATGCTAACATACATATGGCTAGCAGCAAATCAATCCCTCCCTCTGGGTACTCACCCCCATTCCATACTGTAGTTCTCTGACTTTAATGAGATAACAAAAATGCAGGCAGTTCACACTCTTGACAGCCATCTCCTGTGCTAGCCCAGTGTGGTGCCACCCCACAGCAGCACGGAAATGCCCCGGAGTTGCACTCTGGGTTTAACTGCTTCCTGAGAGAGGAAAATGCTGGAAGGCTGAGGAGGTAACAGGGCTTGCTGAGCCACACAAATCATGTTAGGAGCTGGTGACACAGCGTCACACAGCCTACTTGACTTGCACGGCACACGGATGGCTTTGGAATCTTGCATGGATGTAGTTTCTTACTCAGCTGACTAAAGTTTGTAGGGGTTGTCAGTACCTGCTGAATCACCCCCTCTTCCCCGAAACAAGGGGGCTCCTGCATGAATAACTCTCCTGGCTTGACATTCTCCTCAGTCACTGGTGTGGAGAAAGAACCTCCCCATGTGAATCCTTTCCACATAAATTCCCTCAGACACAAAAGCACAAACATAACCCGGAAGTGAGAGGCTGCAGGTTTCTGGTGTAGCTTCCACTAAGCCTTACTGTTTAACGAAACTGGTGACCTCCTCCTAATCCCAGGTAATTTCTTTGGAATGCTCTTGGTCCAGAGGGAGAAACGTTAAAGAACTGCGTGTGCTGTTTCCACTCACCGGTGTAAGCCCTATCGCCCGTTCTGGCTTTACTGACACGCACCTGTTTCATAAACACTAAGTCTATGATAAAGTACTTTGAAAAATTAGTGCAGCCAATGACAGATTACATAGCTAATTACAGAGTGCAACCATTTTGTTTGAATGAATATTTATATATAATTGAGATGTATTAAATGTGTATTTCACTGATTTTTGATGACATACATACAAATAATCCTTGTATTATTCACTGGGTGAAGTGACCAGCCAAATAAATACTTTCTTTTAAGTGGCCTTCCTCATCTCCTTTGAAGTTCTCCCTTTAGTTTCTTAGGATATTTAACTTTGAGTATTATTTTTATTTATATGAATCTTTGGAAATCATACTTAGGTTAATTTTTAATGAATTTTACTTAGGGAGGAGATGAAATAACTGAAGTCAACTACCAAGCTACCTTAAGATTATATTCAAATAGTAAAAATCTACCATCTTTATCTCAATAAGCTTCTCTTTTCTTCTAAATGTTTGTCAGTTTTGCTCTTCCAACCTCCTTCCCCCCCCCCGTCTGTCTGTCTGTCTCTCTCTCACACACGCACAATTTGCATATGGGAGACAGCATGAGATATTTCAATAAACTACTTTTTCTTTATGAACATAAATAATTACACCTGCATAGGACTGTCTAGTTCCTCCAGTGATTTTTTTTTATGGATGAGAACACTGAGAATTCCTTGTCCATATAATTCCATTTCATAATTATATTTATTAATGCAAGTCTACTCAAATATTTAAGTGAGAAAAACTGCGCACAAATAACGAACCCCTCAGACCCTCTGCCTGTGACTTGGGGAGCAGAGCTTTCGCTCACTGCCTGGATGTCTTTTCACTATGTGGGCCACAAACTACAGGAAACAGTTTCCCTAAGGTTGAATAAAGCCATTTAAGAAAACTACACCAAAATCAACATGTGGGATGTGAACAAAATTCACAAATGGCTTTCTGGGAAGCTGTTGGAAATATTTAGGTCGTCTGAAAGTTATTTACTTTTACACTGTGTAAAATCCTGCTTTTATAATAGTTCCTGCAAAAGGCAAGCATTCTGAAGCTACATGTGTTCCAGGGAGTGTGACCGGGATCGAGGTGGGGTTCCTACAGAGGCGCTTGCACTGCCTATGGCAAAGATTGCGAGGACAGGGAGAGTAACTCGTGCCGAAGCATTGGCTAGTCACTGCAGGGTATACAAGATACCCCTGAAAACATAAAGCAGCTTTTCCCCAGAGAGTTCTGTGAAAACAAAGATCGTGGATGGTGGCAGAAAGCTGGCAGTATGAGGGCACCTCCATGACAGCACTTACCTGAATTCTGTGCAGGACACGGCTGGCACGGTTCCCCAAATGCATACTCGGTGCTGGCACAACAGCATTCAGATTTAGTAACAGCACCAAACAAAGGCTTCACACACTGGCCTCGCCTGTATCCCCCGTAGCATGTGCTCCGCATGTGTGTGTCTAAACAGAAGGAAGTGCTCGCCATCACACTGTCGTTTTACACAGATGAGAACCCTCACACTGGAACCAAAGCTGCCTTTGTTTCTCCATTGTGCCTGTTCTAACTCACAGAGAATGTCTGTGTTTTTAGAACTTGACAATGAGAAAACAAAAATAAAACAACTCCAAACACACATTAGCTTCTGAGCAGTAAGGACCAATGGCCAGAGTCAACCAGTGTCCTCCAGCTATCATAGTTGAGCAAACTGTGAGGCCCTTAAGTGCTGGGATTATTTTTCATTCATTTTTGTCTTCCTCAGGCAAGTACAGAGCAGGCACTTTGTAAACACCACATGAAGGTTGGATCTCACACCATGATAAATAAGACCTTTATTAGAAATGTGGCTTACTCAAAAATAAACATGCAGTTATTGAATGACTAAATGGGCTTGCTTTCCAAAAAGGAGAAAGTTTAATCTGTAAAAGGTTCATTATATAAACCTGTAGATGTTGGTCAAATAAGCTGTGTTATCTTTATCTCTAAAGAAGGAATTTCCCGCTTCACCCAATCCTTTCCTAATTCAAAGGGCTAACTGAGTATCTTTTAAAAATAATTCAGATACAAGTCTTGTTATTTAACAAATCTCAAAGCCACATAAAACTATCGCTGCATGCTTCTGAATTATCCATGTTTCCGTGGCATGGCATCATGCACTTTCCTTGGATATTTAATTCTCCATTAAAATTTACACCATAAAATGGTGTACCTATAAAAAATTGAAGATAGTTATATATTCAGGGCAGAAAAGAGCGGAAGAAAAGGTAAGGATTCCCTGGCCTTTCCTTTATTAACCTTATTTTTCTATTCCCAATATTAACATCAAATTTATTCAAGAAGAGATCTGAATTTGTTAGATTTCTATTCTACAAAAAACATCATATCTTATCCTCTAGGGTAGGATACATTAGTTATTGATATGCATTGCTGATTACTGGAGTATTTATCCTAATCAGGTTGTGACTTTTTCTTACCAACACACACACGTCCATCTAGACCCACAGCCAGTCCGGGAAAGCATTCGCATCTGTAGGAGCCATCAGTGTTCACACAGCGCCCGTTCATGCAAATCCCAGGGGTTTCACATTCATTGATATCTGTAACAAAAAGAGGCATTTCTTTAACACCATTGAACAAGTTCACTGTGATAATACTGGAACTTTGGATGCTGTGGAAAATGATACCCAAATGGCCATAGCAACATGTTAGTGGAATGCCTGCTCAGTGTTTCTCCAAAGACAGGAAATGAAGAAATCAGCTGAGCTAGCTAGTTTTCTATTAAAAACCATCTTAATAAAATCCTCCAAAGACACTTTCTAACAAAAATAAAAACACAGAACCAGACAGAATTGGTGGAGATAGGAAAATGACCAATAGAAGGCAAAGGAGTCTAGAACGCATCCCGCTGTAGCCATACTGAAAATCTAGTTTGATTATAAGCTGCATCTTTGACTGAGGTGGAAAAGCTTTTCCTTTCTGCAGGCAACATCCTGGTTGGCATCCCTGCTGGCATCACCCCTGTGTGGTCTTTCTGGGACAACCAGTAAGAGGCTGGCAATTAAATCCCCAAAGGAGCTCCACAGAGAGAAGAGAGGAATACAGGATGACTTTGATGACAACCCTTGGTCAGTACAACACTCAAAGCCACTGGGACATAGTCTTTCTAAGCACCAATGAGCAGTTTTAGTATCATGTGTGTGTCCTTAAGTACTGGAAAAGATGTCATTGGATCCATATTAGCAGTAGTAGAGATATGACCACTGATATGACCAAGTGGAAAGTGAGTTTTGGAAAACAAGGATGCTTAGAAACAGGTCACTTTCTAATAATCCTTTTACAATATCCAACTAGAGTAGGAGACTTTTTCCTTCCTTCTGACCTTAAGTTGAGCAAACTGAGAGTGAAGCACCTCTGGGTTTTATTTAGCTTGTATTGTTTGGCACAAAACACATTCTGATGGTCCAAGATTTCATGTTCAGATTGTATTTAAAACAGCACTTGTAGTTAAGAACGTGAACTCAGATTGGTTCATTTATTTCAGGCATTTTTTTTTGTTCAATCAGAGCCCTATAGAACAACAGTGGAGAGTATATCCTGAAAAGTAGCCTGGAGACTTCCCAGTGGGGTATAAAGTCGCTCAGTCGGCAGAGATTCTGTTGACTAGGCTGTCTGGATGGCTGAACATAAGAAGGAATATCAGTCAGGTTTCCAAATCAGGACCTGAGACACTCAACATGGGAAGAATCTTCAAGAAAAGAGTAGAGAGCAGAAAAAGGAGGCAGAGACCACACTCAAGGGTTCTCTAGCACACACCTTTGCAGTAGCGGCCATCTGATGCCAGCTGGAACCCAGGTTTGCAAATACACTTGAAACTGCCGTCTTCATTGATGCACATCCCATTCAGGCACATGTTCCTTATGCTGCACTCATCCATATCTGGAAACAGAGAAACACGTTCCCTTGGTCAGGAGAGGAAGGCTGCCTGGATGAGTATAATCCTGACTTTTGCATGTCTTCCTTATTTTCTGGTATTAAAGCCCGAGGCTAATTTTCATCCAGACAATAAATTCAAAGAGAACACAAGGCACATGAAACAGGCGTCTCAAGTTCTGGACGATTCAGCCGAGGTCAACAGGATCTTTCGAGGATCACCATCCATAAACTAAAATGAGTGCCAACAGCTGAGTGAGCTTAGTTAGTAGTTCCGATAAACTGAAAATAAAATGAAGGCTACTGGGAATGGAAATGTATTTAGGCTAAATCCTGGTTCTTTTCAAAAGTACAAGACTACATAGAGAGAAATAATATGAAGTTGGGTGGATAGGGAGGTGAGGGAGGACCAGGGAGGGGCTGGTGGAGGGGGAAATATGAACAAGATACATTATATGACATTCTTAAAAAAATAAAAAATCTGAAGAATAACAAAAAGTAGGAGAAAGCTTGTCATTTTAAGCAACTTGAAGTAGATATTGCAGAGATGGATTTAGTAAGTGCTAGACTCGGCTATGGCATCCAGCTGAGCCCACTAATATTTAGATCCCTTTGATCACAGAAACAGTTCTTAATTTCCTGGGCATGCTGGTCTGGGAGCTATTGAAGCTATCCCAGGAGGCTTGCACCTCTCAACAAGACCTGTTTTCATTTACAGGCTTCTAGTCAGGCTAAAGCAATTTATGATTTTTTATTTCTTTTATTTAAAAATAAAATAGATACCCTAACTGGGAATTTTGGCATTAAGTCTGGGGATTGAATCAGCAAGATAATATTCCGCCAACATGTTCCTAAGAACAATTTTGAAATTCTTTCAACATATTAACAGATTCTTGGGCTCTTTCCTAAAGAAGTTGGAGCACATGATAAGGAGCATTCCCCACTCTTTGCTAAAGGCCATAAAGTGGAGACGCAGATACAGCAGTCACATTTACTTCACAAGGGAAAGCTGCTCATGTGATGCATTCTGAAGTCAATATGCAAGGCTGGCTGTTCACACCCACGTTTCTCTGTAAGCAATTCTACGTGCCTACACACTTATTACTAGGTAGGCACTTTACACAGAAAGATTACAAGTGACGAGAAAAAGTATGGGTTTCAGTGCAGTTTCATTGTTGGTTTGGTTTGTTTGTTGTTATTATATAAAATTGCACCATAGACAAATTTTGATTGCATAAAAATAGGAAGGGATGGTACAATTCTACAAATGCTTCATCGCCAGCAGGTAGTTGCAAGAACTGCTATTGTGGGTAAATGCTTTTGACACGTACAAATGTGATTGTGGCCATGGCAATGTGAAAATTAAGGCTTGCCTTTCAGTCAGAAATATGTGAAACACATTTCACGGTTTGACCTTTCACACAGCACCCGGCTCTGTCTTGTTCAAGGCTCCCGATGTTGAAGCTGCAATGGGACAGGAGTCACCTTATGCTGCCACCATTACCTTCACAGTTCTTTCCATCCCGAGTGACGTGGAAGCCTGCATTACACACACAGTGGAAGCTGCCATCCGTGTTGATACAGCGCCCATTGTTGCAGATCCGGCCATTCTGCAGACACTCATCAATGTCTGAGGTTAAAATGAAAAGGGACGAAGTTAATTTGAAGGATTTGGAATCATTTTCTTTCTCCCTCCATTTCCAAACTTACAATCTTAATCTTGGATTTCAGTTATCTGATAATATCCATCACCGTACATGTCATGCCAAATAATAGGGTATGTGATATCATCAGCATCAGAAAGATATGAGAAAGAAAATTCCTTTACATGATCACATTCACTCTTACTTTCTACTAAGATTACTCAAACCTCAACTGTATGAGGAAAATAGAGTTTTCACCATTCTTTCTAGATAATCTATTGAGCAGTATATATGGTTATTTATATCAAACTTTAGCTGATATCATTTTAAGCATTGATTAAAAGGGAAATCTTAAAACTAAGTAATAGCGGAGAGACTACATTAATAGCCACTACCTTGTGATAAGGTTGATTACTACCTTATATGCCATCCTAGAACCTTCATCCAGTAACTGATGGAAGCAGAGACAGAAACTCACAGATAAACACTGAACTGATCCCCTGGAACCCAGTGACAGAAATGGAAGAGTGATGAGCAAAGGGGTCAAGACTGTGCTGATGAAACCCACAAAGACAGCTGACAGCTCTTGAACCCCAGACTGATGGCTGAGAGGCCAACAGGGGACTGATCCAGACTCCATGAATGTAGTGTCAGTTAGGAGGCCTCAGAAATCTCTGGGGCCTTGGGTAGTAGATCAGTGTTCACCATGGCGTACAAATGAACTTTGGGAGCCCATTCCGCATGGAGGGATAATCTCTCAGCCTAGACACATGGGGGACGGGCCTAGGTCCTGCCCTGGATGAAATGACAGACTGTGGAGATCCCCCCTCAAGGAGGGCCTCACTCTCCCTGGGGAATGATGTGGGGATTGGGGGGGGGGCTGGTGGAGGCACAAGGGAGGAGGGGCCAGAGAGGGAGCTGGGATTGACATTTGAAGCATGCATGTTTCTAGTTTAAATAAAAACGAAAAAGGGGAAATCTTATACCAATATGAGAGATAATAACAGAAAATACTATTTTGTGAGAAATCGCTCAATTCCTCCTAATAGTCTTCCACATAACTACAAGATGGCCACCTTCCTCACAGCAGTTCTGAACTGAGTATAGTTTCATGAGTATACATATAACTAAGCCTAAACTTTATGACTACCTGCCAAACAAAGCATTGGTCCTGTGGGAGATGCCTCCTCTCCCATTTAATAATTATCATAATCATAATCATAATAGAACTTAGAAATGTTTTTTAAAATGACATAAACTCAAATAACCTGTACCTGATCTCTAATTTAATGATTAAAAATTCACTCCTAATAGACAGCAGGGTAGCCTGGGTCTGGTCCTTCTAGCCTAAGAACTACAAAAGGATGAACATCAAAGAAGATGGATAAGACAGCCTTATCTCTGCAGCCTGTTTCCAGAAAATATGGAACCAGGCAGAGTTGGATGAGAGAAACCCATCCATGTTGAGCGCAGGCCTTGAGTGCCTGAGGGTGAGCATCCTGCACACCCTAGAGAGGAATGTGCATTTACGGTCTGTCCAGTTATCCTGTCTGCCCACCGTCTGCACGGTGTCTGTGGTTGACCCTCCTACGCACTTTCTTTCCAGGCTGATCCCACAGTGGTTTCTTCATGAGCCATTGGACTAGTTGAAGCCGTCTGGGCTTTTCTTCTGTCTGATCTTTGTGCCAAAAATCTCTGATTTCTTCTTTTCCCTCCTTTATTCTTAATGTTCACTAAAATCTGTCTTGCTCCACAAAGAAAAATAGTAAAAATCCACATATTCTTGAACCAATTTTGGCATTCTATAATTTTTGAGATTAAAATAAACAAGAAAATATTCCTTCTTTCCTTCTCACTACGGAATGCTATGGGGGTTACTGTGTACTTCTAGCAATCTATACTGTTTATTATTCAAACTTGCCTTCCACTGTGTCTGTCTCTTCCCTTTTGACCAAAGTGCATCCTCCAAGTCACTGCAGCCTTCTGGATCCCTCTGCAGAAACCATTATTCTCCACACCACAGGGGTGCTGTTACTCTCAGGGTGAGTTTACTACCAAGTAGAAGGCAGTACATGAGTCACCCTCATCTCTCACAAGACCTCAGGTTGAGGGTTGTGGCATGCCTTTACCCTGGCTGGCCCTTGCTCCAGCCAATCCCATCTCAATGATCATTTCTCTTTGTTTATTTAGCAGCGAAGTCTCCTAACAGTGATTTCTTCTATTAAAAAATGTTCAATATACCACTGATATGCTGATCATTTTAACTAAAAGTTAAAGCATTAAGAAGACTCTCAACTCAACTAAATATTCAACCTATTCAGGTTTATAATTCAGATTGTAGGCTGTTTTTTTTTCTGTTCAATATTGACATTTTGGGGTGGTGTACCTAAAACAGTGATGGTGATACATTTCCAAACCTGAGAAAATTCAAAGATTTTGAAAGTAGTTCAGGGATGAACTACACATCTTCTCAATTCACACAAAGGGCTTTTGCCAGTGGAGGCAAATAAAATTATGCCGTATCAGTAGATTCACATAAATCTCCCTGCCTGCCTTGTGTTTAATAGTGCTCACTTATTTTTACCTAGTTTTACTAGGTTAGTGACATAGTCATTCTATGCTGAATGTGTGAACAGAGCTCTCAGTTCTTGAAAGGTGGACACTGTATCCTATCCATTTTCTCCATATAAACTTACTGCATATTTCACCAAAAGCATATTGGACAGCTTAATAAATTATTTAACAAATAAACCTGTGACATGCCAACATAGACAGGGAAATCTCACCAAGGTCCCACCTCTACATGAAGAGCTACAGGCCATTCAGAGAGGGGGATTCAGTATTCTTCAGGGACTAAGCTCCTGATGAGTTACCCAATCCCAGCAGTAAGACCTAAACATGTATTTGTATCTGTCTCTATATCTATTTATGAGCAACCCCAAATGGACTCACAAAGCTGTCTTTGTGTGTGTGTGTGTGTGTGTGTGTGTGTGTGTGTGTGTGTGTGTGTATGTATGTATGTATGTAAACAATAATTAAGGAAGAAGAGGTGACAAATTTGATAGGAGGTTTGGGGGGCATAGGAGGAGCTGGAGGAGTGAGAGGGGGAGAAATTATCTAAATATAGTACTGCTATCCAAAATTCTCAAAAAAATGTTTTTAAATTTAAATTCTAGAAAAGGAAAGGGGTGTTTGCCTGAAGGACAACATTTAGGAAGGGACAATTGCATCAGTGCTTCTGAGATTTCAGCGTGTAAACAGATGGCTGGGGAATCCGCCAAATGCTCATCCTAATTAGCAGGCCTGAGGAAGGACTAGAGAATCATCTCAGGCAATGCTCAGGGGATGTTGTGTTGGCTGCTGACCTCTGCAAGGATCAGAGCCCCAGCATCCTCCATTCCACAGAGAAACTCATAATGACATACAATCCTACAGAGGCTTTCCCCAGTTTCTGTCACACAGAGTGGCTATATCCCCTTCCTACCAGATGGAAGATGAATAACCAGCAAATAACTCAAAAGAAGTGAAAGAAGTGAAAATAAGTTATTCCCTCAGGCACAAAGGTAGCTTTTAAAATAATCTGAATGCTTGCCAGATTTGGTAGCAGCATCCTCAGAGAAGTGATATTTGGAATAAGGTACACACACACACACACACACACACACACACACACACACACACACACACAAACACAGAAGCAGCAGGAGTGGGGAGATTAGCTTCTTGCCATTATAACTTTCTGGACTCCTTCAAAGCAAAGCCTTCATTTGAGACATATGTCTCCCAGGTCCCAAGAGCCCCTTACCTCTGCACTCGGTCCTTGTAAGTGTGCTCTGGTAGCCAGCTCGGCAGTGACAGGTGTATGAGCCCTGGTTGTTGATACATTCTCCACCAGTACATGGGTTTTTCTCACACTCATCAACATCTGTAAAACACAGCATGTCTTAGTGAAAGTTTTAACGGCTCGTAATTCTAAGGCTTTGTAGGTTTCTTATGCATAGAGAACTTTTTTCCTTTAAGGTGAGATAATAGCAAAGCCAGGCATGGCAGTGCACACCTCTAATCCCAGCATTTGGGAGTTAGAGGCAGGTGGATCTCTATGAGGTCCAGGACCTCTCTAATCCCAGCATTTGGGAGTTAGAGGCAGGTGGAGCTCTATGAGGTCCAGGACCTATAGTGAGGTCCAGGTCAGCTGAGACTGTGTAGTGGGACGCTTTTTCAACAAAGCAAAAGTTGAAATAAGAAAGAAAGGCAATTGCATGATCAAAGTATTTTTCCCTTCCCACTACAGTATTCCATGCCTCTACCCATTGTAAGACTAGTTAAGCAGTTCACCTGCATCCTTTTCTCATGCCATTTTCAGAGAATATGAATATACTTTGAGATAATAAACATTTTTTTTCTCCTGTGGGTCTGGCCTTAGAAAATCAAACATACAGACAGACATGAAAGCACAGGGATGCTATTGCAGCTACTAGGAGTCTGAGGTAGGAGAATTGCACGTTCAAGGCATGCCTAGACAACCTAGTAAGGCCCTGTCTCAAAAGTTAACAGTGAAAGAGAAGAGCAACAGGGATGTTGCTGTGTGGCAGGGCACATGAGACTCTGGGTTCTACTCCCAGTACTGGGGAAAGAAATCAAAGAGACTAACATTTAATTCAGAGGTGGGCTCTATTTCTTTCTTTCTTTCTTTTTTTAGAGTCTGCCTCATATCTAAGCATCTCCTGCTGTCCTATTAAAAATGTGACAACAATACATGAAGAGCGAGATGGCTGTTGAAAGGGGGGTTCTCATGTACCACCCACCCAGGAGGTCTCAGTAGCCTTAGTATCAAAATGCTACTGGAGTTCGAACACTCAGTATCAGGCCCCACTTGTCACTTTGGCATCTATGAGTAAACTAAGGCTCAGCGAAGCTTACTGTTCTTCAAGTCTCTTGGGGACAGAGTCTGGTCTGACCTGGGGCCATACACTCCTTCCATCTCCTGTGTCAGTTTGGATAACCTTTTTTTTTTTTTCAGAGTGCCCATATGAGCATGATACAAACAGTTTTAAGAAAACAAGAACTAACATAACTAAGAAACAAATTTACTTTAAGACAAACGAGTACATGCCATCTGGGTGTTGTTAGATCCAACAGTCCAATTGTCCTTGTATTGAGCTAGTGAGGACACTGCCCTCCTGGCTATCTAGATGAAGAAGGGTCATGAGGCTCTACTTTCCTCCGGAGTATGAGACATACCAGAAGGTCAGGAAATCCTCTCTCTGAGGTTCTGAAGACACACCTTGCCAACACTTAGCTTTGGAAACCAAAGATAATAGAGTTCTACTGTTTGGAGCCACTGTTGGGGGTGATTTGCTACAGCAGCAACAGGAAACTCTGTGGCCTCCATAGGCGCATATATTTGAATGGTTGGTCATTAGGGAGTGGTGCTACTTGACATGGATTAGGAGGTGTTGTGTTGTTGGAGGAAGTGTGTTACTGGGGGGTGGGCTTTGGGGTTTCAAATGCTCAAGGCAGGCCCAGTCTCTCTCTCTCTCTCTCTCTCTCTCTCTCTCTCTCTCTCTCTCTCTCTCTCTCTCTCTCTCTCTCTCTCTCTCTCTCTCTCTCTCCCTTCACATCTGGATACATAACTCTCTACTACTGCCCAGCACCAAGTCTGCCTGCCCCACCCTGCTCCCTGCTGTGAAGATAATGCACTAAACCTCTGAAATTGTAAGCAAGCCCCAATTAAATGTTTTCTTCTCTAAGGTGTCTTTTCACAGCAATAAAACACTGACTAAGACAAGACAATTACATAAGAATTGCAACATCTTTCCAGTATCGATCAAGTAATCAATTGCATACCAATGCACTCCCCGCGGATATCCAGCTGGAAGCCCTTGTTGCACTCACACCGGTAGCTGCCAGGAGTTGGAATGCAGCGCCCATTTTGACAGAGATAGCGGACCAGTTGGCAGTAGTCAGTAACATTGAAAGGCAGCACCCCTAGAAGGATAGCATTGAACCCCATTAAAATTATTCATATCTATGACATCAGCTCTTCATCTGCTAACAGTGAACAAGATGCCAAGTCCTAAAGGAAGAATCACCTAGGGTGGGTCAGCCACTAGAGCACAGTCCCATTCAGCCTTCCGAGAGTGAGCACATCATATCCCGGAACAGGGGAGGTGCTGCAGCCCAGGGCTTCTCTGCCCACCTCTGCCCATCCCACCCACCTCCTCAAGCCTCCAGTTTGGGGAAATAACTATGCCAGGGAGGTGTTGACAGATAACTACTTTGTACACTGAATGACCCCAAGTATAATTTCATCCATCTTCTGCCCTTAATTAGCTCTCTGAATCAGATTTCAGACGTTCCTATACCATACCCACATTTAACTGAAAATATCCGTAACGAAAGGACATTCATCTCCATAATATACAAGGTTCCCATTCTTAGTTGTAAAATGGGAAAAACTAAGAAACATGCAAAAGCAATGTAAAAATTTTCATTTAACAGTTTGTAAAAATATTTAATGATGGATGTGGCATAAACTAAAAATATGACTTGATTAATTAATGAAAAAAAACAAAACAAAAAAACAAAAAAACAAGGTGGCTTTTTGAATTCTTACTTGGTGGTTCCCGAGATGGAGATGGATAGGGATATTCTGGTGGTGGCCGAGGGACTGGAATCACAGACCCAGGAGTATAGCCAGGAGGAACAGGCTGAAGTGGAGGGCCAATGGGTGGGGGAGGATATTCTGGTCTCCCAGGAACGACCAGAGGGACAGAGCACAGCTTGTTGAAATCCTCTGGAATAACACACGAGAACACGACACAATCAGCAGAGCCATGGCTGTTGGGAGGCCAGAGAAGAGCCCAAAGTGCATTGGCCAATTGGAATGAACACTTCATTTGTATTTTTAATATCTACACAAAACCCACATTGAGACAATTCAAAATTTAACAGACAATGGTTCCAGCACAGGGACCTTGTGCTCCTTTCAGAGTCTAGAAAGACATTTACACAATTAAATTCACCAGGAAAAATGTTAGGTGTCACTTTCTCTACCCAGCCCCAGTGTGGCTGTCACAGGGATCTAAAAAGCACATCAGAAGGCATTCGTCCTAATCTAATGACAGAGATGAATGAAAACGCTATAATGAAACCCATTGCATCGTATGTTAATAATTTTAAAACTCACATACACACAAAATAAGGGCTCGCAGGATGACAAAACAAGTGGAACAGGATTGGAAGCAAAAAGCCTGAGCTATATGAGGGGCAAGACTTTAGCTTTTTATTTTATTTCATGCACAAAGGGAAGCCACTTCCATCTCCAGCAGGATATGATGTGATCACATGAATATCTTCAGATCGCTCTTGCTGGCATATAAAGACCGGAGGGAAGAAAGGCTTGTGAGGAAAACCAAGGACAAGATAATGATGGATGCACAGGGGAGGTAGTGATGGAGCTGACAGAGGGCACAGCTTGTCCCAAGGATAATTTCTAAATGCATGGTAGTGTTTGGTGTTGGGATAAATGTCAGAGCCGTGGGAGTAAGAAATCAGGAATGGCTACTAGAGTTTTGGTTGTTCAAAGAGGTAAATGCCACTGTCCTTTACTGTGAGAGGGAAACTGTCAGGAGATGGGCTGGTGGGATGGGTGGAAGCCAAACTTTAACTTGAGCCTTTGAGTTTGGAGACGAAGGCAGTCAAATGGAGATATCAGGCAACAGCTGTTGAGGAGAATTTGGAGCCCAGAGAAGTAAAAATTTTCATCTATCAGTAGTGAGGTAACATGTAAAGCCACGAGATGGATGAGTTCTTCTAAAACATATGGAATGTGGGAAGTCCGGAGCAGAGCCTTGAGGATTTGTCGGTTGAAAACAACTAGATAAATGGAGAAGGGAGGCCACAGGAGTGTGGCTGTGTGAACGCAGCACAATGGTTCTGTAAGCTGGGGCTCCCTGACTTGACCATGTGTTTCCCTGTTTGCACATTTCCAGTAGAATACTATTGTTTTTAACAATACCGGGACTCTATCAGAATAAATCTTTGTTGGCTTATGACATCTTCTTTGTGAGTTTCTGGAATGGTATTTTAGACAGCATCTAACTTTTAGCATGTTTGTTTTATTCATGTGCAGCTTCCCTGAATAATAGCTCAGGTGTGATCACAGTCCCCTGCTACGAGCAAACCAAGTGAATTTTCATCTTTACTTTCTGTCTAGAATGTCAATAACTTTATTGACACAGTTGCGTGATTCTTTTATAGATATTTTCTACATAGTGTTAGACATTAATATAAATTAGGCTAATGTTTTTCTTAACAGTGGACTACTGAAATGCATTCATATCTCAACCTCACGGAACATCCTACCAATTTACATTTGGCTAAACACACCAAACTCCACATATTCTGCTGATGAAAGCTAGTCCATATCTGAATTTTCTAGTCTTACTTCACACCTATAATACAGACCTTTATTATGTCTACTATTTATCTGGGGTTTTGACCCATGAATTCTTGGTATTGCACTGTATGTGGAAGGGAGTTTTCCTTGTCTGTGTTTTTCCTGACTCAGGATGCTATAGTTCCTTTTACAGTGACTCTTCCTACAGAGTTATAACCTAGATACACCACATCACTTGTTCCTTGAGGATGTTTTCACTGCATTTATATGCAGCCCTTTAAATCTGAACCGTGTGTGTGTATGCATATGTATGTATACATATATACATATACATGTATATATATACATATATCATAACCAATTCTCACTCTCAGCCTAGCCCCATAAATTATATATAATAGGATTTCAGTATTGTTGGATTTAACTGAATCCTGACTATGTTAAAGGAAAAAGTTTGTTTCCAAGCCCTTGAAAGCACCAGGTCATCCAAGTTTTAAAATTCTTTCAGGATTTGTAAAAGAGTTTGGATGGCTTATCAGCATTTCTGCTAATTAGATGAGTATGTTACTTGAAGAAGACAATTAAATTCACCTTAACCCAGTATGAAATGTACCTGATTGGGCCCTAAACCCCTTCCATTCTACAGACTAATGGTTTTATCCATGAGCCCTTTTACATTAAGAATAAGCAGCCAGGGATCATTTTTCTCAATAATCTTTACCTTTCTGCCTCCATTCAACCCAGAGATGAAACAAAGCTTTTTTAAAAGTAAAGAGAGAAAGGCTGTCTTCCTCACATCACCACTTGCCACAGGCAAGAGCTCAACATCACTGAAAGGTTGAAACAAACGAAAGTCGACATGCAAATTAGTTTGCATGGTCAGTCTGTTCTGCTCTATGCCTGTGTCGGGGTTATATATTTCAGCTCCCTGCAAAGTCACACACAAGAACTTGAGTCTTCCTGTGCGAGGTCTTCTGGCTGGTTTCTGCATCTACTGTCTTCCCCCTTCTACTCAAGATCTCAACACAAGGATTCCAGTCCATACTACTGATTCCAAAATTGATGTATGCAATTAAAAGGCAATTCTTCTGGTACCCAAGTCATGCATCTTGGTAGGAAGCCATGTACTTCTAAACAGTGAGAGAGTGAATAGATTTGCAGCAAATTAAGAGGAAGGGGTTTTAGGGCATAGACAGTGTATCCAAAATGCAGAACTTATTGAATCATATGTATGTATGTGCAGAGACATAGGAAGGTTATATTACTTCTTTAGTCACACATACAATTGTCAGTAATGAACTGCATTTTATTCCAACACCCATGAACTGCACTATAACCCTTGATGATAACTGTACATCCTATGAGCAGCACTGTCCAGAGCATTTCATTAACATTGAGTTCCTCCACCCCAGCTTCATTGCCACTCCTCAATTCTCTGATTTAAACAAACCTTTCAGGAACAAATTAAACAGAGCCTACAGGTCAGTTTTCAGCTAGAGTTTGTGGAGAAAAATCATACTTAATGAGCTGTAGGCTCTACCTAAATTCTCTTACAAGCAAGGTTTTTCTAAATACTATGAAAGCTCAGAGAGCTTGCGAAATCTAGTATTACAATGATGACTAAGATCTCTTAGTGAGATTTATTAACCAGCAACAGAGCAATACTTGGTTACAAATAGGCACAAAACAGAGCAGTTTATATCTTGAGCACAGAAAAAGGACAAACTAGGACTAGGGGTGATGAGGATGAGGCCACACTTCCTTCTGTGGCTATCTTGGCATGTTGGTGGATCAGAACATGTTTGCACGGATCCTTAGCCCTCTAGAGGGTATGTAACTGGCAAGGATTGTGGGAGAAGGGGTTAGAGGGTAAGGCATGAACTATGCAGATATTTTAAGGGAAAAATAACTGATTTACTTTAGAGATACTAATACTGTTTAAGGGAAATGCAACCACATAAGTTAATTAGAAAATAAAACTCATAACATCAACAATTAAAAGAACTGAATTCAAATTTGGGGACTCCAAATGCTATGCTAAATCATAAATATTTCTTTGCAAGAAAAGGTATCATTTGGGCCACCAAAGAGTCCCTGTGTTCATCCTAATGAAATATCCTGGACATCTTTCTCGACATCCTCACCAGAGACACCTTTAAGGCTATTGTCGGGTGAGCTATAATTTGGGGAATGTATATGGCAGGATCTCCCACTGGACACGTGGGAGGCCACCCCAATCATTTGGATTGCAGAACAATAAGCTTTTTAGTGGAAATGAAGGGATATGGCACACAGATAAGAAGCTATGAAGAAAAATAAAACCAGGACTCAGCAGAAAGAAGAGAAGAGTAATGACTGTTAGGGAAACAGGAGTGTATAGGGTGGGGATCTGGCCTTTATCCTACTGAACTGGTGAGCATCACAGGGCAGCCACCAAGTCCCTTAGTGAGAATAAGAGACAACAACGACTTCCTGAGAAGACTGCTGCCCCATGGTAATGAGAGAACTAAGTCACAGCAGACATAGAAACAAGTCTTTACCTGCGCATCATCTGGGGGATTCCTCCATGCCCACACTTCAGTTTCCTGGAATCTTATTTATTTACCTGGGTTTCATTTGGACCCGTACTGCACACACTGCCATGGGCTTGGAAGAGTTCTGTTGGGATATGCTATAGAAGCTATAGGTGGGCTCTTACCAGTTGATCTGATGGGACACATCTCGGGAGCGACAGTGACCCCTGGAGACCAGCACCGGCCAGCATCACAACAGCACTGCATTTTGGTTATGGACTGCGGCAGCTGGTTAGAGCAGCGTCCATTTGTCAGAGCTGTGTAGCAGTAGCCAGGGCGAACATCTGAGAGAACAACAAACACACATGATCAAGCTTGAGACACAGTCCTTTGCTGCCACACCTCCAAGCTTCACCCTGGGGCTTTGACAGACTGACCCACGAGCATATGCTATGAAGAGGAAGCTTTGAACGTCCCACCGGTCAGGATGCAATCGGAAGTGTCTTGTCTAGCCCCTTGCCCCTGAACACTGGTGCATTTGACCAAAATTCCATATTCCATACCCAAGGTGAGAATAAATGGTTAAAATCAATGTGCCATAGGAAAAAGACTAAGAAAATCACTAGTGTGTCAGACAGCTATTCCTAAAGACCTGCTTCTATATTAAATACAGTCTGGGTTGTTTTTGGTTTAAGTTACTTAAGTTGAGCTACATTAGACAAACATTTATATAAATGCATTTAAAAACAAAACTGATCTGTGGTATGGGTTTTTAGTCTAAAATTGTGCCTCTGACCTGTGAGGTTGCATCTTGAAGAGATGAGCCAATTTTCAGCCAGATCTAACGCTTATTAATCAGGTTCCCTTGTGTCCTGAGGTCTTAACTAACTTTTTTAAGGGGTTATTAATAAGTTCCAAAACATCAATGGTCACAGACTCTTAGTCCTATAGGACCCGACAGTTCTAGATGAGTTCTTTTCTTTTTGGCAAAAAAGGATTCGTTGAAAGCAACATGGGGAGGCACACTCCTATAGATCACTTTTATTGGATTACATCATGTCTGATTGTCATGACAACAGCTGACACACTGTAGTACAACTCTCAGCCACTAAAAAGAGCTCAAAACCCAGGACAAGCCTTTGAGATGTCCCTGTGAAAAGAGGGGACACATAGCAAAGTGCAAACACCTGTCTCTATCTACACAAGGGAAGGGTGTGGCGCTCCAAGTGAAACATCTATGTACAGTCTTACACACAATCAAGTTGTGAAAAGTAGATAATATCTGAAATATGCTTCTCATTTAATGTAAGATATGCAGGATTAGCATTTGTAAAGTGGAGACATTTCTGCAGTCAAAACCCCATCCATATGTGCCAACAGTCTGAATAATAAGCATCAAGCTTAGCCACAGCAGCCATCCACATACACTTAAGTCATTCTTAAGAATATAGAGGCTTCGAGTATTGATGGCTTTATTAATGAGATACATAAAGATAAACATGTATAATTTAGGGACATTTCCAAGGGCAAAGGCAAACCTAAAAAACATAGAGAAAAAAAAACATAGAGAAAGACTGAGGGTCAGCCTCACAGACACGAGTTGATTTCTTGGTGGTACTTATAACCACCAGCAAGCATAGAGTCAATCCCCAGAAAGTGTTGGTTCTGGTTCCTGTATCTCTGAGCAGATGCCTCAGCAGGAATGGGTTTTATTCCAGCCAGACCCAGGAAGAGTAGCTACAGAGGGTGTGCAGACAAGCCTGCTCTGTGAAGTCCATGGTGGGGCACCTCTCCATGCAAATGGTGGGAAATGGAAATCCTACATCCTAACTTTAAAAGCATCAAAGCTCCTAATGTTTTATATGCTAGGTTAGTAAATATTTTGGGTATGGAACTCAAAGTCTATAAAGAATGGGGAGAGATCCTCAAGCATGGTTTATATCCCAGCTTTACATGGAGTTGGTGGTCAAAACCCAACTGTAAATACTTGACCAAATTGTGAAACATGTGTGCATAACTTGCAGATGGATGGTTTCTCCTTCAGAGCAAAGCTGGGAACTTTGTTGCCATTGATAAACTCTCAATGGGTTAATGACTATTAGTTTGAAAATTAACGGATACCATGCTGTTACAGATCTGGCTGACTAGTATGTTAATGAGTTAAAGACTCTTGATCAATGTGGTAAAATGGGGACTGTTGGCGCTGAAATTACAAGCTGCTACCACAGCCATTGATTTACATTGGGTTATGGCATCAGCAGAGGACTTGAGTTTGGTTCCTAGCACCTATATCAAGAGGCTCACAACTGCCTGTTAACTCCAGCTCTGGGAGATCCAATACCCTCTTTTGTTCCCACAGGTACCTGTGCTCACAAGTGCACGAGCGTGCACGCGCACACACACACAAAATTAAAAATAAAATAAATTATTTTTTAAAAAAGAATAAATTAAACCTCCATTTAATTTCTGCCTTCATGCAACAAATCATTACAACAGATAACAGTAGAACTGTAGAACTGCCATGCCTGGCGTGTGCGTGTGTGTGTGCGTGTGTGTGTACTACCTTACCTGGAGTATGTATGCATTTATGTAGGTACATGGCTATAGTGTATGCAGAACCACTGGACACAAATTGAAGGTCACTAGTTTCCATGTCCTGGTGAAAAATACCTGAGATGTTTGAGCAAGAACATTATTTAACCAAATCACTAAGTTAAATATGACAAAGTAGATTGTATAGAAGTCAGACCAATTAAAGATTATTACATATCAGACCTAGATTAACACAGATTCTAGGAAGTGACTAAAGGTAGTCATAGTCACATAGCGTGACTACAGGCAGTCGTAGACAGAACACTGTACCTTAACTCACAGACTGAGGATATAGGCAACGAATCCATAAACAAGGACACAAGATGCCTCTGTTGCTTAGCAAGGCACTCCACCGTTGAATACATTTCCACAAACACTCGTCTTCCCCTCAACTACTCCTGTTAACAAACCTATACAGAGAGATGTTCATTGTATAAAAACCATAAACACACCTATGCATCTGGTGCCATCAGGGGAGGTGTAAAAGCCAGGGGGGCATTTGCAGAAGTAACTGCTGACTGTGTTTGTACATTCCCCGCCATCGCAGACTCCAGGAATGGTGCTGCACTCGTCGATATCTGCAATATAAAGGAGTTCCTGTTATCTGGAGGATGCAGATGAAGTGCTTGTGAAGTCAAGCCCCAAGAAGCACCTGTCTGCACCACGTAAAAGCTGCCCAGAGAAGAGCCTGATGCGACAGATGTTCCCAAGGGTTTGCCAAATTCAAGAGAGGAGCCAAATAAACCCACCCCCTTTAGAGCCTAAAGCTAACAGGCTAGCAGTGTACTTATGTTCCAAATGCATTTATTTTGAAAGCTTGCTCTCTCTTTCTATGCATATTTTCTACTACATTAAACTGCTCTGCTAATTATTCTATATCCCTCAACATTTTCTGTACTTGTTTTCAATCAGATACTTTAATCCTTCAGAGGAGACCTTGTGGCTGGAGCACCGGTTAGGAGTTTGGGACCTGCGGTGACCAGAATAGGGGTAGGAGGTACCAACTTGGTTTCTCAGGAGCACATCCAAATGAGCATGATGATAGTCCTATGTTGGAAGAATGTGTATTTGGTCAGTGAACTCCAGTAGACACTGGGTGCTCTAGCCATTTTCGTCTTCAGGGAAGAACTTACTGCTCCTGCTGTTGAGATGTGGTCAACAGACCAGCTTTGACTTTTGCTCCTGTCATGGATCATGGAGCTACATAGAGCTGCTTTGCCTGAGGTCACACCCTGCCCCGGTACCCCATATCTAATAGGAAATCATGGAAAATGGACAAAAGTCTGGTCATATCAACCCAATGAGGGGCACCTCTAGAGGCTACTTGACTCTCCACCACCCAGGGCACTTGATACCACAGTGCCCTCTGCAATCGGTTATTGCTGCTTCTGGGATATACCATAGTTCACCCAATGTGTCTTCACAATCTGTCTATTTTCCCTCTTTTTCTCACACACTAACCCTAAGGAAATTCCTTAACAAATACTCTGAGTGCTACAGAGGCCAAAGTGGGTCAGCTGCTAGGACTTAAGGGCCCTGGTCTCCAAGGAAGCAATATATGTCCCATTTGGAGAAATCTAACCATTTCCTTAAAGGGAGTTTTCAAAAGCCCAAACCTCTCACTGGCACGCACCAGTAGTGGCAAGGGAATGGAGGAGAAGAAATAGAGTGTGCACTCTTCTATCTAAGACAGACAAGATGGGCAGCCTACACTGTGCCAAGGAAAAGTGGGATTTGCCCAAGCCTCTTGGAGCAACCACTGCAGCCAGGCTGGTACTGATGACATTCAGGACAGTTTAGAACCACAAAATGAAAACACTTCCTCTCCAGTACAAGGTGTTCCTCTTTATTTAAAAAACAAAACAGGGTTCTAAGTGGACCACATTCAAGTACACCATCATACATTCAAGTGTATCCTCACTCAAGCTGACCTTATAGTCACAAAGTCAGCAGTGACACTATCTCCATGCTGTTTAGCCTCTTGAAAAGCAAAATCACCATTCTTCTATGCTAGCCTAGAGGCTGAAGCGATGTTTCACTGAGCACAGAGTCAAAGCCATGGTGCACCGGACCGTCACTGTGAATCTGTCACTGGTAAAGATAAAGCTATTCCAGGAGAGAAGCAGCCATGGCATGGTGGAAGACCCAGCACCATGCCCCAAGACTCCCCTTACAACAGCTCTGTTTTCAGTACCCTCCTGTCTTTCTGCTGCCCCACTTAACCAGAGCACAAAGTATCAATGAGTCTGCAAAACTCCAAGCTTCATTTAACACGAAGACATAACCTCAAGGCAAGACATTTGTAGTGGTGTGAATAAGAATGAACCCAACGGACTTCCATATTTTTATGCCTGGTCCCCAGTTGGTGGAACTGTTTGGGAAGCATTAGGAGGTGTGGCCTTGTTGGAGATGTGTGTCCCTGGGGGTGGCCTTCGAGGTTTCGAAAGCCCACACCATTCCCAGTCTCTCTCCTGCCCCCTCTTCCTTGTACCCGTGGATCCAGATGTGAGCTCTCAGCTACTGCTCTAGTGCCGTGTCCATCTGCCTGCTGCCATGCTCCCCACCAAGACGGCCCTGGACTTCAGCCCTCTGGAACTGTGTCACAAATTAAACACTTTATAAGTTGCCTCAGCCATGATGTTTTCTCATGGCAGTTACACAGTATGCCTTTCCAAAGGGTTCTCAAATGTTAACAACACATACTTCATAACAAAGGTCATTTGATGATCAGTCTATTAACATATGCAAATGCTAGCATTTTTGTTTAAGTCACTTAGCATAATATATCCATATCCAAAGAGATTAAGATACTACAAAGAGCAGCAGAAAGTTCTTTTGGAAACATAACTTAACTTTGGCAGGATGTGGGAACATCTTCCACATGCCAACCAGTGAGACTGGCATTGTCTGCTAAAAATAACAATGGTGAGTTCCAGTGTTGTGAGCCAGGCCATGTGGAAAATTTGAAGTCATCTGACTCTCACCACGTAGTGTGGTTATGGGACCTGATCCCCATGTGTCTGATGCTCGGGTGTGGCCCTCTCATGACTGAGGCCTGCAGAAAACTAACTTGAAATAGGAAAAGATCCAGGCCTAGAGGGGCAGGTCTCTGCTCCCAGCTATTCGGGAGTCAGAGGAAGAAGGCTCAGTGGTTGAAGGCCAGCCTAGGCTACAGAGCAAATTCAAGGCCAGCCTAGGCTACAGAGCAAATTCAAGGCCAGCCTAGGCTACAGAGCAAATTCAAGGCCAGCCTGGGCAACTTGGCAAAACTGTGCCTCAAAAGTATTAGTAAAACACAGAGTGGTGGTAGAGTGTGTTCCTGACACCCGGAGGCCAAGGTCAAGTCAAAGGGTGAGAGGAAGCAAACAGGTTCATCATTTATAGTCAGGCTAAATCCAAGTCTCCAACCGGCTAGGACCTGAGAATCCACTTTTGCTATTCGGCCTCAAATGCTACCAGTCAGGAGCTGCAGTAGAACACACACCTTAACGTTCACTTACTAAGGTGAAAGAGGATGAGACAAAATTGTCACACACGAAGGTGTGTAAAAACCTTTGAATTCCCAAATGTCCCCTCCCCTGGGATCTGCTCTCCTTCTGCCCAGTAGAGCCACAGTTGGACCTCCTCCCTCTGGTGTACTATCTTCCCAGGCTCTTACAACTCTAGGCTTATCTCCTTTTACTAGAATTTCAGGCATCCCAAGCAATAGAATCCAAAAGCGGTGACTGGAACGCGGTTTCCACAAATCAGTCTTTATCAAATGCCAGCCATAAACACACAATGGTTTGGGAGGCCTGCAAGATGCAGCAGGGACTGGCAGGCAGGCGGCAGCTACTGCAGTGTGGACGCCTTCCCAAACCTCCTCCAGGCTGGAGGGGAGAGGCAGGGCTACTGGTGTGAAGTCTCTGGTGGCTGCAGCAGCCACCACAGCTTCCTGTAGTTCCCTCCATCCTGCTGGCTGCCAGTCCTCTGCCTCACCTGCTCTCTTCAGGCTTTCCCCATTGTGCCCCACATCCCTAGCCTGGGCTCTTCTTGGAAGAAGACACTTGATGGAGCCTGTCTCAGAACTGAGGAAGATATTCCTGGACACTCAGGTGTCCAGAATTCAGTCCACCAGAGTGGCTTGACAAGGGAACCAACTGCCTGATCCTGGACGTCTCCATTACTGTTCAAGTGGGGTTAGAGGGAGCATTTATAAAACTTGTGGCAGCTGTTTAAAAGAATCAGGAGACACTACAGGTTTATGCACCCATGAACTTTATTACACAAATGCAACCTATAAGAAACATTCAATTGACAAACAGATGGCCAATGCTGTTTTAGTCACACAATGATACCATCAGTCACAGGACACAACTGGCAAGGAGTAAATGGAGAGGCAGAGTCTGGACTATGGAACTGAAAAGGGCCCCCCTACCATCTTGTTCCCAGAGACTGTACTTGGTGTAACCAAGACCTTATAGTGAACTAGTGACTTAGGCCCAGGCCCAGGCCCGGGCCCACCTTACTCACAAGACTCTTTCATCTACACCACTACTCCTTTAACTGTGCAAGGGGCTGGCTGCACTGAGCAGAAGGTGAACACTGCAGCTGAGAGTCCCTCCTGTGGTCAAACAGCCCCAGGGATGTTCATGGTGAACACTGCAGCCGAGAGTCCCTCCTGTGGTCAAACAGCCCCAGGGATGTTCATGGGTGCCAAGACGACAGAAGGCCCCAAAGCAAGTAGCCATTAGGTAAATATGGCATTACTGCCATTAGGAAAAGTCCCAAGCACCTTAACGCACGTATCAGGAGGGCATAGATGTAAGAACCACACGGTTAAATTCCTTTGTCTCATGCCATGCTCTTAGGATTGCTGGAGGCTGGGCTGATGATAACCTAAATCTCCAAACATTAAAGGTTAACTATTAACTCGAGGGACTCCTTCCAGAAATAAAACTTAATCCCTTAACTACACATTCTATTTCTTAATTTCCTCCCACAGTAACCTATGCAAATACGGACTTGGTTTCCAGAAGTGGGAGTTGCCTCTGCTCCTTCAGTCCATAGCTCCTTCAGCTCCACAGTCATCAGAAAAATCAGCAAGAAGGAGCCAGTGAGTTCTGATCCCCTTACTCAAATTACAGCTATAAATCTCAATTTTTGGCTTTTAAAATGCTTTAAATCTAACATTGAATAGCCTGGGCTTGTTAATTTACATTTGACTGCTCTAAATTGTACATATGCATTAAGTCTTATTCTACAGTGTTTTATTGGAGTTTTAGGAAGACATAACTAGAAAGGAAGAGCTCTGAAGAGGATGTTCTCATGAAAAGTCTTTGAATAAAGTCATCCTGCCGTGCAGCAGTGGGGGCTGGCATTCTGGGAATTTGCTAATACTTTCTGGACTGAAGTGGCTTTTTTATTTTTAAGGTAATATAAGAACTACACAATTTCTTCATTTCTAAGTCAAGGGAAAACACACTTAAAAAGCCAGTTACAGTGCCAGTGACATGGCATAACAAGACTGCCAAGCCTGACAACCTGGAGACTGAACCCCAAAACCCACGCAATGGAAGGAAAGAACCTCCTCCAGCAGGCTGTCCTCAGACCCTACATGTGTGCCATGGGTACAGGGCACACACATACATGTAGACCTTTCCTCCTCTCAAGTATATTGTCTCGGGTGTTGTGTTACAGTAATGCAAAGTTGGTTCACACACGTGGGCACAGAATGAAGGCACCATTATGCCAGGCCCTCTTCCCTAGCCACTTATAAAATCACTTGTCCTCTTTTTGGTTTTGTGCTAGATCTGCTAGGCTCTATCCCTTGTCACAGAGGGCAGCCTGTGCCCAAACAGTGCCATGACCCTAGTGTGCTGCCCTAATTGAAACATAGTAATAGGATTGAAGGAAAACCCAGCTTTCAGAGGGTTCTGGGAAGACTTTCTGATAATGTTTCTACCAGGACCAGTCCCAGGTCAGAGCACATGTAATACTAACAAGAAAATATCCTATCTAATGTCAATTTTGCATAGAAAAATAGGGAAGGGAAAAAACCCACTAAATTTAATGTAACTGTAGTTAGTAGAGGAAAGAGCGCTCCAGTCAGAAGGCTCTGTTCTCTCTCTGTCTTGCTGTTCCATTGTGTAGTTGAGAATTTGGTTTGTTGTCAGAAGTGCTAAATAAGTCTCAGGTTGAAAATTTAATTCATTAGATATATCACAAGTGGGTTTTTTTAGCATTAATAAAAAGGTCTGAGGGGCTGGAAATATGACTCAGAGGTTAAGAGCACTGACTGCTCTTCCAGAGGACCTGGGTTCAATTCCTAGCACCTACATGGCAGCTGACACCTGTCTGTAACTCCAGGGTCCAAAAACCTCATACAAACATACATGCAGGGAAAACATCAATACACACACACACACACACACACACACACACACACACACACACACACACAAGATCTGAGTTCCCTGTGTTTGTTTTTCAGTGTGAACATTACATTTGCATCTTCTATGTAACATACACCCATGGACTATTCCTGACTGTTAACGACTGTAATCATCAAAAAGCAAAAGATAGAAAATCACTTTTTGCCCAGGCTGGAAGTTACTGTGATTCTAGAAGACAAAACACAGGCTAGTTAGGACACAAGGTCTTCACTGCACTAAATCTTAAAGCTTGCTGTGTCTCTCATTGCTCAATATAGTAAGCTGAGAAAAGTTTAAAAATGTTAGACATACCTCATTGTTGTATGGATTCTACATGCAAGAAACTTCATTACATTGTCACAAAGGATACCCATGATAATGATTGAATATCCATACCAGAATATTTCTAGATAGTTCCAAGTATAGGGAACTGGAATGAAGGCTCGATATGGTGGCCCATGTCCTTAGTCCCAGCACTTAGAAGGGTGAGGCAGGTAGACCTCTGTCAGTTTGAGGCTAGCCTGTCCTACATAGCAAGTTCCATGATAGGCAGGGATACAAAGTAAGTGTCTCACAAAAAAGAAAAAGAAACAAATTATCAGCGATAATAGTTTTCATCTAGGAAAAAATGTCAATACAATCCACAGTGTCCAAATGAAGCCTCTGCAGCTACATGAATGGCCTCACTCAACATTCTCGACACTCAACATCATTTGTAATGTGAAAAGTGGAACAGGTCTCTGCCCCCATCAGTACCAACACTCTCTAGTGCACACAGCTACAGTTTCTGAAATCCATTCCGATACTGCCCTTTAAAACATGAGACAATTTTCTGAAGACTGGTTTCCAAAAGGAACTAAGACTGACTCATGGTCTCGCAGTTGAAATAACTGAGTATAACATATCCTTGATTGCAGCAGCAATTATAAACTATGTTAATTAATAATTTTAAAAACGACTTTAGCCCACAAGGCAATTCTATGACAACTAGGTAGTTCCATTCTGGGCAAGCCACATTAAATATCTGACTGTAGTTTACTGACCATCCTTCACATCACAAGTGGTTTTCTGTTGCTTTGACAGGCTGGTGAGTCCACAAGGAGGTTAAGAACCCAAGGAAAATCTACTTTGAGTGAATTGTTCCTTTGCTAGAGTTTAAGAAGGCAAATAACACAAGTGTGTTCACCAAAAGACATAGACTTCAAATTGAAACCCCAGGCCACACCTGGTTGGATGAGAGGCTAATAAAGGAGCAGCTTTCCCTGAGCTTGATGCAAGCTGAATCTTTGTCGCTCCAAGGCTGTCAGACCATACTCCATGTACTCCATGAATTCAGCAAAAAGAACTCAGTGCTGTCTACCCATGGTTTGGATGCTTCCATCTCAAAAACAAACTACTGCACTGGAAGCCAGCCCACTTCTGCATATAACAGTAGTACCAGATGTAAACATGTCCCCTGTGTATACATTGTAGAAGCCTACTCTACAAACTAAATACAAATAGAAAAATCTACTTCAGGTTACTTTTTTTGCTTGGTGAACATTAGGAAGCTTTCATTCAGTAGACAATACGTCATAGCCCAGAAGAGAAAATCCTAAACTCTAACTACGAGCACAAATGTTTATGTTAATATGTCACTCCCCCTCAAAATTCAACATTTTAAATAGAAAATAACAGTGGTATAATTTTGAATGGTATCTAATGATCGAATTTAAATTCATGCCTCTAGAACCATATAAAACGTGCATCTTGAACATTTTAAAACAAATATCAGCCTAAAATATTTCACGTTTTAATATTTAATTTGATTCACATGGACCTCTCATTTTGTGTCTACAAAAGTAGAACAAGCTGCAGGGGCTTTTCTGGTTCCAAAAGCATATGATTCCTGCTAGACTGTCATATTTACATATTTACATATCCCATGGGGATGACAAAGACAGAGGTCTGGGGTGTAATCTGCAAGTAAGCTTACTGTTGATGCCATCTTGTTTGCCTTCCCCGATTCCCTGTAGTTGTAAAGCATGAGGTTCTTACCTTCACATTTTTGTGACACTTCATTAAATTTGTGTCCAGCAGGGCATTTGCACTCAAAAGACCCAACAGTATTAATGCAATTTCCTCCTTGACACAGCCCAGGGATAGCCTGGCATTCGTCCACATCTGTCAGATTAGGGAAAAAAAAGACTTATTGCAGAAGAAAGCTTAACAGTTTATCCATAATTATATTTCCATATTTATGTGAAGGCATCCATCATTGGTTTTAGAATGTGACAATAACAACTGCTATGATTACATTGTGTAAAGTAAATATGGTATTAGCATAGCTTAGTCAATAATACTCGACAAGTAGGAGCCTTATCTTCCAGAAAGCTGAGGAGACTATTTCTATTAATTCTGCAGCATTCTTATACACAGAAAAGTAGAACATATGAAGATTAAAATGACTGTTTTTACTGTGTCATTTTCACCTTCAGATTGGCAATAACAACCAAAAGTATCTTAAGTTATGCTTGGAAGTCACAATGTGATACATGTCTATAAAAGCTCTCTTTAAGTGATGCATTGAATGACAAAGGTAACATAAAATTTACTTGAGGTTCCTGAGATTGCTACACAATAGCTAGTGTCTTCATACATATGTCCCTTTTACCTTCTGGAAAATTGTCTTGTATAGGAAAACTTCATCAGGGATGGAAAGGAGAATTGTGCTGGATAATTTGCAGGATTGTCAACCAGAGCAGGTACCAGGAAGGACCTTGCAAATCTCAGATCACATCCTTCCCTGTCCCTGCTAAGTCAGAGAAAGTCCATGCCTTTCCACTGTCTGCTCTCACCTCCCTCTCACCTTCCTCTTTCTGCTCCTCCCCAGGTGTCCTCAGATACACCATGGATAGATATGTTGCCTTGGAGCTTTGTAATTGTGGTCCCTCTTTTTGGAATATTCTTTCTGTTGGAGCTTCATGGTTCATCATGACTCAACTTTTGGTTTCTGTTCCAATGCCACTTTCCTCCAGCCAGTATATAGCAACATCTGGCCCCTGATTCTAAACACCAACCATCCTAATAATGATTCTGGTTTGTTCTTCAACAACATAGGCTTCCCTGAAGCAGACACTCAGTCCACCTTGCTCAATGCTCTATCTACAAACCTAGGAACTAGCCTCTGGTCCTATAGAGAGATCCTGATTAACCTTCCCAAGAGAAACCTCCTCCTCCATGACGCTGGCTGCCTGGGTTCCATTGTGAAGACAACGTATACAAGTGTATTCTTTCCATTTCTTCATTCAGCACACAGAAAATCCTGATTTGATAAATGGGAGTCTTAAATTTCTTCCTCTTGGACTATCTTGTAGACATCTGTGTGTGAGTGCAGTACCCTATTTGGGTCCTGATGTTGGGAGAAACATCAACACAACTGCCAATTGCAGGCTCTCAGCCTGCACTATTGAGAAAACTCAACCACGGTCAAAAGGGAACTAGAGGGGAAATATTTATTTGGTTATAAAAGTGCCACTATTTTAATGGAATGTCCTGATACACAAATGAACAAGTATATTGAAAGAACTGGGTTATATTTTACAGCCAGTTTTATTTTTATCTTTCACTAGAATTTTCTGAATGTTTATCAAAAAGTTACTTGAAATCCCAATTTACAGTAAGATAGACAACTCTAGATAGTTTTGTTGATCATGATATTTGGCAACAGAAAATGTGTTTGAGGGCAGTTCCCCACTGACCATGTGATCCCACACTCTGCCTACACAGGTCCCTATCAACACATTTGCCCACAGCCTACATCCGGCCCAAGGGCTAGAAACACCAGCAAGAAGAATCCTGGCCACATATAACACTTTGGGAGTTTCTCCCTTTTAGCAAAAGAAGACATTCTTTTTGCAAGTGATCATATAAGCTGCTATTTTGAAGTCATGGATTTTCAGGAAGCTAAGTTTAGTCTTTCCCACTTTAGATATTGAAGAACAGCCATGAGGGGACAGGAAGCAACCTTGGGGAAAATCCAGACTGTATGAGACTAATAAGCTGAGGAGAGTCCCTCTTCCCTCTCCTCTCCTTCCTTCTCTTACTTCTGCTGACACCCAAACCTCTGACCATCAGCTCATTGACAGGATGTTGGGGACTGAAGATCTTCCTTTCTAGTCACTGTCAAAAATTAATGGGTATTAGCGACTTCAAAACACAATGACCCACAAATTCCTCAAGGGAGATTTTTCTAAGAATGAGAAAAATAAGACATCACAGGAGAGGCTTACTCTTAGCAGTCCTTGGCGATTCTAGAATTTCAGAACCCATTCTGGCTGTTCCTGACAGCCAGTGGGACACATTCAAGGACATCCAGGGGAGTGGTACCCAGGAGCCAGACACATGCAATTCAGAGCAGCCCACAGCACAGAGAGAGTCACTCAAATCCTTCTCTCCTGTATCCTAGCACGTGGGGCAGAGCCGAACTACTGCCTACTTCCCTCAGAGAAACACAGTTTCTGGATTTTATGAAAATATTGCAGTTATCTAAAAGAAAGTACTGCAGACGTCTCAAGGAAGGGGAGATAGCCTGGGAGTCCTGGGCCCATCAGTTTGGCGTGGCGTGGCCTCTGTTCACTTCCTCCTCTTTCCTGCCAGACATCCAGACAATGAAAGAATTTACACAGCTGGGGGAACTGAGTCCAAGCCAAAACCAGGATTCTAGGGGAGGGGAGAAGAGTGCTAAGGCAACATCTGGGGGTATTTAAAACAGTGAAACCAATTCTAATTTATTTCGGACTTGTTAAAAAAAAACAAACATAATGTAGCATGTCGAATGTCCAGAGGAACAATTTTCTTCAGGTCAGTTAAGTACAGCCTCGAGCTCAGGACTCAAGAGTTTCAAATGAAGAGAAAACAACAACTGCCACCTTGTTCACTGTGTTCCTACACGGCACCGCCATCAGGCCCGGCATCGCCCCCACACAGTTGCTACTCCTGTGCCAGATGGACATGGAACCACTCCTGGGCCAGAGGGGCCGTTGGCAAGGCAGACAGACTTAGTCAATCTTCCCGGCTCTAAGAGCCATGCTACTGAGGCTTCAGCTGCACCCTCTGGCGGGGGACAGGACACTTTTAGCAGCTGGGCTCTACCCTCAGGCAGGATGGGGCACTTGCAGCAGCTGGGTTGTACCCTCAGGCAGGGGACCGGGCACTATTAGCAGCTGGGCTGTACCCTTAGGTAAGGGTCAGGGCATCTCCACAGCTTCAGAATGACCCTCCAGTGAACAGGACGCGTTCCTTGTCATTCTTGCTACATTACCTTGACAAGCTCCGGTGCGGATGTTGGGAATGAAGCCACGACGGCAGGGGTGAGGCTGGGCAGGACACATCTCACAGGGGTGGCCCCAGGCTCGGCCCACTGTGGCACAGCAGAGTGTTTTGGTGCAGACAATCCCGCTGAGCTGTCCCTGGCACATCTGGTTGCTAACCACAGTAAAACACGGACCTGTTCTGTAATCTGAAAATACAGAGTTAGACTCTCGTCAGTGTTCAGAAGACCAAGGACCAGCAACACAGAGGGTCAGCTGTGCCCCCATCCTACGCAGCTCCAAGCTCAGACGCAATCTTCCTGCAGTTCCCACATAGGTTACTTTTGTAAAGTCGAGTGGACCTTTCCACATCTAAACCCATATATACATATGTACATAATATAGTCTACATCTGAAAGAAAACAGGCAATCATTGTATTACTGCCTGACCCTAGGTTATTTTGCTCTCATAAGATCTCCAACTCCACCCATTTTCCTGAAAATGACAAATTTTGTTCTTCTTTGCGGCTGACTAAAACTTCACTGTTTATATATACCACATTTCTCAATCCGGAAGCTGATTCCGTGACTTGGCTGTTCTATAAGCATGATGTGTAGGTGTTTCGGTGGTGTGCTCACTTAGACCTTTTTGGATATACACCCAGGAGTGGGACAGCTGGACACCTGTGTTCATTTCCTATCCCGGCAGTGGTGTGTAAAGGTTCCTTCCCTCTGTATCCTCACTAGTACATGTTAGTTTCTGTTTTCTCTTTTTTATTTTAAAATTTTCAAGACAGGGTTTCCCTGTGTAGCTTTCGAGTCTGTCCTGGAACTAGCTCTTGTATATCAGGCTGGTCTAGAACTCAGAGATCCACCTGCCTCTGCCTCCCAAGTGCTGGGATTAAAGGTGTGCACCACCTACTCTGACTGGGGTGAGATGGAATATCAGTGTTGTAGCCTTTTCTGGAGGCCAAAGAATGTGCAACTTTTTTTTGCATGTATTTTTTTGCTATTTGCACTTCTTTTGGAAGCTGTCTTATCAGTTAATTTGCCTCTTTATTATTGAATGCTTTGGCATTTTTGATGTTCAGTATTTTGAATTCTTTATATATTATGAACATCAGTTTCCTGCAGGCTCTTTACTCCATTATTTTTTCCTTTATAATTTAATATTTTACCATGTACTTTTTATTCAAAATGAAGAAATTAGACAATTAGGAAGGCAATGACACATAAATAAGAAATCTAACTATATACTAACTCTTGATTATATACAAACACATTACATATAATCTACAATGTGTGCATTACTTAAACTACAACATAATGATTATAATCTTGTTTGCGAAAAAAAATCTTGGTTTTCTTTCAGGAAACATTATCCAAAATAGTTCTCCAAGTAATTTAGTAGTAGTACAAAATATGAGTTTTAGTGTTGCCTAACTTTCTTCAACCTATGATGTAATTTATTCAATCAGTGTCTTACTATGTATCATTGAAATCACTTCCAATTCTTCATTATTATACATAGTGTTAAGTGTATTTAGCTCATGCAATAGCCATCAAGATTTGTCTCATTTTATGTATCTTAAAACAAGGCCAGAGTCGCACAATATTTCTACACTTGATCTTAGCCAAAAGGCCGAGAAGCAATTGTCCCACAATATTTCTATGTGCTGTAACAGGGCAGAAAACGTAGGTCCGTCTTCTCTTTCTTGCTAATTTACTGAGGCAAGTACAAATGCTTTGACCAAACAGATTTGTACTAGCATGCCATTTCAACTGTTTTTGCAAATGCATTATCAGATGTAGATTTTAACTAAAGAGTTTCCCTTCATCACTGCTTGTATCTGTGCTCATTTCAATAATACTCTATGGGAAATCATATGCATGAGTGATGCAAACATTCAGAGCAACGTGAACTCAGTGTTTTGTGGGTAGCACCAACAAAGTCCAGGAACATCACACGATGCCAAGAAAAGTTCACTTCAGCCCTGCACAACACTGCTTCCAGACCTCAGATGTGAATTCCTGCTTAGAAGCTCTTAACAAAAAGAACTTTCACAACTTTTCCAGAGTCAACATGAAATGTTGAAATACAGGGAACAGTATGAAACACAGGGAACAGCAACAATGCCTGTTAATTTCCACCATGTCCATTAGGCAACTCTACAGCCCACATATAGATCCATGCTAGACAGAGACTGTGTCTCATTGATGCTGTTGTAATATCTTACTGTTGTCTTCCATGGAAATTGTTATTCTTAATGCAAGTAAAACATGCTATTAGAGAGATTTTCTATTTGCAAACCACTCTACAATTACTTCCTTATGAGAGCTCCATGAATTAGGGCACCATGCCAGCTCTTTCCAAATGAAAAATGAAAAATTAGTTGTTATCAGCTAGTTTGCTCCAGTTTGTATCTCTCTGGGACATCTTGCCTTCTGTGTGATCCATTGTGTGTGGGTAGTTCAAATGCTGCCCTCTAGTCTTATTAGTTTGACCTCTAGGATTGAGAGAGTTTGATTTTGTTAACCCACTAGAAAGAAGGCCCAGAAGTTAAAAGCGTGTACTGCTCTTGCAGAAGACCCCAGTTCAATTTCCAGGTCAGAGGATCCCTGTCAGGTGGCTCACAACCATCTGAAACTCTGGTTCCAGGGGCATCTGATGCCTCAGCGGAAACCTGCATTCATGGGTACACACCCACACCCATATAGACAAATTTACAATTGAAAATAATTTAAAATTTTATTAGATTGATTGGAGGAGGGGGCTTTGGTAAGTGTGCCACTTTGCACAATATGGAAATCACATGACATCTTGGGGTAATCATTCTCCTCAACTACTGTATGGGTCCTAGAGATTGAATATGGTAAGTATGTTTACCCACTGAGCCACCCTGCCCAGGCTCCATTTTTGGCCATATAGCTGTGGCCCCGGATGCCCAGCTCACTCCCAACTCTGCAGTTCTGAATGCTTGGACTGCAGGATTAGTTCTCTTTTCTTCATAATCAGACTTCATCCTGATGCAAACTCATCATTGACAGGCAGAGCGTCCCTGTGGTCAGTAAATTCTTGTCACTCATGCCCAGTCACTGAACCACAAGCTACAGAGAATCAGAAGGATGTAATTTTGGGTACTAGGCTCCAATTATTTTAAAACCTTTCCTTTCATAAAAATTATATATAGTAGATTAAGATATCAATTTATTCATGACAGAGAAGTCAGAGCAGGCATGCTTCTCCTAGGAAAGCTGGCCAATAGGATTTCAATTCAACCCTCAGAGCAAGGACTTGAGAAAACTTCTAAAGAAAAAGAAAGAGGGAAAGCCCCAGGATCCTAAGCAGAAGCAGTTTCATTGCTGCTGTTGCTGTTTCTGATTCAGCCATCTATCCTTGGCACATCCCAGATCACTTAAGAAGTTTTTGCAAATTATTGGTGCCAGGAGTCCTGCCCCTGCTCCAACCAGACTCACCATGGACTCTTACTACTCTACAAGTTATGTCATGTGATAATTTGTCATTAAGTTATTCCCATAAATGAGATGTTCAGTAGTAGGCCTATATTAAAACAGAATAAAATAGAAAATAAATGCTTATGTTAGCAAAGAAGTCATAAAAATATACTGATTAAAAATATCCCTCTGCAGATTCACCCATATGAGATACCCAGTAGTCATCTTCAGAGAGACAGCAGAATGGAGGTTACCTGGAGCATGGGTGAGGAAGGAAAGGAGGATTTGTGCTTAGTTGAGTATGGAGCAGTTGGGAAAATACCAAACAACTCTTGGTGGAGATCGCCTTCATGAAAGGATGGTACCAATTCCAGAAGCCATGGGTTATCAAACAAAATTCCCAGTGCCAAATATGGGATACTTCCTCATGAATTGTTGGTCAGGAAGGCCCCAAAAGCTCCCAGAAGAACACAGGTTATTGCCTTAGTCTTGGTTGACCACCAGAACTGAATGGTAAGATCTTATTGCTGAAGATACCACATAGCTTTGTTAGAAGGCAGAGGGAAATCAAGCTGCAACTGAAGCGAAAGCTTCCTAGCTGATGGCTGACTTTCCTAAGCCAGAATGTGCTACCCAGGCCACTGCGGGAGAAAAGCCATCAACAGTTTTCCCCAGCTGTGAACTTTTCCTGCTACAACACTAACCTGCCAGGTAAGCTGTGCACACTGGTGCAATAATAATGGTGTGACTGTTGTGATAACCTACTGCTTTCTGACTGTATCTGAGGTCCACTCCACACTCCATGCCTAGAGTTGTGGGCCTGGTCAAAGGTCCATGATTTGGGACACTACAGGCCTGAGGGGTGTGAGTCTATTGCTTCCATTTTGCTAAATGGACATGTTGTCAAACTGTCTCCTAAATACTTGTTTATATCCATAGATAACCTTGATCAGAGAGGTTCTATTTTTGCAGAAATGGATGTAGAAGTTCCTGGCTGTTCAAGGTGCGAAGGACAAATGACTGTTGAGTTCTCAGTCCCAATAGGGATATCTGTATCTTGAAAGAGGGGTTGGAAAGAATGTAGGGCCTGGGCAATGGGGAGGAGGACTAGGAAATACTGTTTTCTGGGAATGATATGGAGAGTGCGATCTTTAACTCACAGCAGCTACAGTTGATTGCACTGGGACTACACAGGATTAGGCCTCTCTCGATATGGGAGGATCTCATGGAACCTAGCCCCTCTCTGAGGAAATGTTAGTTGCCTATAGTTTCTGAGAGAGTGGAGGCATTGTCTTCAGTGGTGTAGCCATTGGTGAGTTCCCCATGTTCCAGTGGACAGCTCAACACCGTGCCCACATGTCTGGCCCACAAAACAAAAATCAAACAAAGGACATAAAAATGAGAGAGGAACTTTTTTCCTGTGTTTCAAAGCTTTATATATAATTTTTGGTTTGGTTTGGTTTTCTTTTTATTTACTTTTTTTCATTTTACATACCAATCCCAGTTCTCTCTCCCACCCCATACTTCCCCCCTTCCCAATACCCTCCCCTGCTGTCCACACCTCAGAGGGAATAAGGCCTTCTTTGGGGAGTAAACAAAATCTGGCATACCAAGTTGAGGCAGGCCTTGGCCCTCCCCCCTGTATCAAGGCTAAGTAAGGTATCCCTCCACAGGGAACCGGCTCCAATGAGCCAGTTCATGTACCCGGGATAGGTCCTGGTCCCACTGCCAGCTACACCCCCCCAAAAAGATC